ATACCTTAAACCTTTAATTCTCTAATATTCATTATAACAAGTAAGTATCGTGAATAATAAAAAGAGTATGAACATAGGGTTGAATTCAAAAATAGATCTAAAATAAATACGAGTTGATATAAAAATTGCATAAAGAATAGCATTTTGTATAAGATTCTGAGTTATATTCATATGCAAACCCATTTGAATTGCAGTGTCTTCTATCCAATTAATTTCAGAATCAGCTAAATTCTGTATCCAAAATGGGATAAATTACATAATTGATGCTTATAAACTAAATGATAATACTATAGTGCTAACTATTTTATACCATTGTTATCTAATCACAACTTTGTAAAAAAAAAAAGTGTATAAAATGGTCAAAATAATATATACAATTGATAGTACAATTTAATTTTTTATCATCCAATATCCTGCTTGAAATGCATAAGAAATAATGGGTATAATTGTATTAATCTTAAAGCCATGTAATATTTATGGTCTTTGGCTTTCTTGATATCTTTCCTCTAATAAGGAATCTGAAAAAATTAATGAAAATTTATTCATAATAATCAAAATAATATTAATAATTTTATATTCCTATTCTACCATAAACCTAAAGAAAAAATATTATATAAATTATGATAATCAATTAATAATTCTGAAATTTAGTAACTTTCTCAATTTTTATAATTTTACTATTCAACTCAACTTAAGTATTAATTTATTATTTAAGTGATTATTTTCATATCTAATGGAATTTAATAACATAAATTTAAACAAATAATTAGATGGAGAATGTCTGATGAAATTTAAATATTTTTATAATCAAATTAAATTACAATTTTAGAAACTTTATTTTTATATATTAGATATAAATAGTGATTCTCAAATATTAAAGTATTAAAAGTAGTAGTAGAATAAATCTATTCATTATTAATCTCAATTTAATGATATTTATAGATTTAGAATTTAAATTATATGATTAATAAATATGTCATATTTAGACAATTAATCATTTTCTTAAAGGCTGTAAATTTATAGGATTTGTTATCTTGTTGGGTTCTATTGTATTCTATTAGAAATATTAGTATTTATATCCTTAATACCTTAAATTATAAGGGAATTAATTAATATTAACATGAGTTCGAAGCGAAAGTAAGTAAAATTAGAGTCAGAGAAAAAGATTAAGCAAGAGGAATCAAACTATGAGGATTCATTCAATGAGTCAAATGATGAAGAACCTAAGAGTACTGGGAAACAGAAAACTCGACATGACAATTCATTATCTGTGCTCACAAAAAAGTTTGTTGAATTAATTAAACATTCTGAAGAGTTGACAATAGATTTGAATGTAGCAGTCAATGATTTAGGAGTTTAAAAAAGAAGAATTTACGATATTACAAATGTATTAGAGGGGATTGGTTATATTGAGAAAATCTCTAAAAATAAAATCAAATGGGTTGGAGCCACTGATGATCCTTTATTGGAAACTGAGCTTCGTTAAATAAAATAAGAATTAGAAGCCTTATAAGATGAAGAGAAAACAATTGATTATTGGATAGAGTACTTACAAAAGAATTTATAAGAGAAGTTCCAGAGTGATCCAGAAGTGGCTAAGTACACATTTCTCACACATGATGACTTTAAAGAATTATCAAAGAGTTAACAGACTGATCATAAAGGAGAGGCGCTTTTTATAATAACAGCGCCAAAAGGAACTTCTGTAGAAACTCCTTAAGAAAATAATCCTGAATATCCTTATTAGGTTTATTTGAATAGTTCCAAAGTATAAGGATAGAATAATGAAATTTAAGTGTATATTTGTTCTGATGAGAATTACCCAATAGAATATGAGAAGAAGTAAAAATGACAAATATTTTAATTTAATATAATTTTATCATAAATTATGACTAATTTCAACTAAATAATTTCAATAACTTTTACAAAAAATTCATAGAAGTGGAATTGTAACTAGTTTTAGAATTATAATAATTAAATATTGTAAATAAATCTGAAATTTATATGATGTTGTTTTCAAATAAGAGAACATAGTATAACTTATAATTTTTGCTATTAGAGATACTTAGCAGATATTTCTAATTACAAATTGTGAGAAATATAATTATTTTAATATGATCACAACTTTTTAATTAAAATAAGTAAATTTTCAATATTATTGTTTGACTTCTTTTGATTATTAAATTTAAGATTTCACAATTATGATTTCTCCATCATTAATGTCCCTTAAATTGAATTAATAACAATCAAATTTACAATAAGTTATTTTATATCTTAAATAAAACAATTCTTATAATTTTTCAGGTATTATCATCATTCGAATTTAGTTTTCTTTAAAAATATTATAAGCTTAAGCTAAATGTATGAAGCAAGATTTATTCTAAATAAAAAAAATCTTAAGATGTATTTATTATGATTCTTTGTTATATTATTCTATTCTATTTGATTATATGAGAATCTTGAATTATAAGATGTTTATTTTCATTCTTTTTACATATCATAAGGATTATGGTCTTATCTAAAATATATAAAGATTTTAATTTTATTTTAATGTATTATTGCAATATATGAAAACTCATCTACCCAAAATATTCTTGGTACCTCTTGCAGCCTTGAAGTCATCACATGGATGTCTATAGAAGGAGATGATTTTTTTTCCCCATTAGAATTATGAAACCATGTAACCCTTTAAATTGATATCATCTTTTGATCCTGGAATCCAATTATGAGTTTCTGTTAATTCTTCTAAATCTGCTTCTAAACCTGGATAGAAATCATAATCCTCATGAACTAATAATTTAAATTAAATATAATACTGACATAGTCATTTCTATCTCCATATTATTCTAAATCTAATAAAGCCAAGTGTTGATCCAAATAATAATTACTCCAAACAGCACTATGGAATGTAAGTTCATTTTCTAAATCTTCTAATTCTTTGCTTTAACTAGACACAACTTGATGACAGATACGCTCAACATCAAATTCCTTATTTAATAAAGTGTCATGTCCTTTTTAAACTTTATCAACCAATCCTTCTGTTGTGATCTAATCTTTCCAATAATTCCAATCAATTTCCTATTCATCGAAACACAAGCAATACTTGAGCAGCACCCATAGAAGGTTTTGAATAGAAATTAAACAATGAACTCAATTATGATGCATAAAATCTGCTTTCTAATGTGTTAGCTTTAGCAGTCAATGTTTACAACCATTTATTGATACGATCAAGATTTGCTGATGGACGAGCAGCAACTGTTTTGCTTCTTGTTTAATTAACAATTAATCTTCTCATATCTAAAATTAAATATTTTATGTTAAAATATTCATCATTCAATAACTTCCTCAATAGCAATTTCATCATATTTAGATTAGAACATTTTATAATACTCTATTGACATCAAAACTAAATGTTTTTATGGATTATCAAGTCTTGTTACTTTAGTATTAAACTCTTTCATTTATTTTGTACAATATTTCTTAGCTGTTATCAAATCAGGAACATAATCATAATCAACAGTTTATAATAAATTTTCAATAAAGGTTGGTTTTATGTGATAACGCTATTTGCTTATGTGATCAATGCATTTAAATTCATTATTCTCAGGTAAATAATTTATTGATGTGATAATATCTACACATTAATCACTTTTTGTATAAACCCTATATACATTCTTTTAACCTGGAAAAGTAGTTTTATCATATTCTTCAGACAATTTCATTACAATCTAATTTTTACATTCTACTAATTTATAAACAAGACCTAATGCAGGCTATTTTTAACATGTCACTAAATGAGTTCCTATTCCAAATATATCTATTTTATGTCCTTTCTTATTAAATTATATAAGTGCTTCTTCATTAATATCATTTGATGCAGCAACTTTAAGATGACTAATATCTTTTTAAAATTAATCTCCATATTATTTAAATAATTCTTTTGCTTATCTAATTATTTATTATATTTAAATTACATTGATAATTATGCCAAGTCTCCAGAATCTAAACGAATTCCTTTAGCTTTTATTCCAGCATCATCTAAAGCAAATGCTACAGCTAAAAAATTTGGAACTCCAGATTTTAATGTATGATATGTGTCCACCAAACATAAGAAATTATTTGAACAAGATTATGCATAAGCTATAAATGATGCTAATTCACCTTAATTTGTTTTAACTCCCATTTTTTTATGATATTCAATTGCTCTCAACTTTATATTTATACCATTTAATTCTGCAGATTCAACATCATTCAATTCTGAAAAAGATGTTACAAATGAATGTGCTATTGTACCTGATACTGGTATTCCCAATTTTAATCCAGCCATCATATTACTTGTACCATCAAATCCACCCAAAAATGAATATTGAGTTGCACTCATACCTCCATCAGGTCCCTATGCTCTTCTTAATCCAAATTCTAGTAAATGTGCTTATCCTGCCAATTATCTCATTCTACTTGCATTTGTAGCTATTAAAGATGGAAATGAAACCAAATTAACTAAAAATTTATTAATCTTTAATACTGACTGCTGTTTCAATGAGTTAGCATATACCTTGTGGTCCTTCTATACTAATTAAGGGTTCTTTAGGAAAACAAATTGATCCTTCAGGCATTGCTCTAATTATAATTTAAGAAGAATCTAAATTCTTAAGATATTCAAAAAATTTCGGATTAGCATCTGATGGCAAAATACTTTTAAAAAATTATCATATCTTTATACATACTTTTTTTTCACATATTCAATTTCTTCATCTGTAAATTTGAAATTTTTAATATAACGTACAACTTCATTTAAACCGGCAAAGATGACATATTGGCCTCCAAATGGACATTTCCTAAATATTAATTCAAAAGCTGTCTAATCATTTTCCATTTTGTTTTAGAAAAAAGAATAAGTCATTACTAATTTATATGAGTCATTTAATAGAGCTCCTAAGATGTCTTAATGTCCTCCTGTTTATTACATTTCAATTAATTAATTATTAAAAATGAAATAAATGAGAGAGAATTTCCATATAAAAATAAGAGCTGAGTAAAGATAGAAAGAATTTGCAAAAAGAAGAATTATCAAATTATAAGCTACTCCATAATACTTTAGATAAGCAGTTCTAGATAATCCAATTAGTGAATTGTTAAAAGAAATTGATTAACCAGATTATTTGTAGTTCATTTCTTTTTTAAGTTCAGTTGAAGATTATTAATGCAATAAATATATGGCAGATTAAGGGGTTTTAAAAGTTGTAATCGAAAATACTATTAACCTTATGAAGAATTATAAATAGAGTTCAACTTAAGAAGCTAGTTTAAATTATGTAATTATAATTTAAGTAAAAATTTAGTTACTTTCTATAATTGGAAATTTAATTGATTTTATACAATTTCCAAATGATAAAATAAGATATATAATATAAAGAGCAATTGAAATCAGTAATTATTCCTTAACAGAATTTAAACTTACACTTATTTGGTTGATTGATGAATATCTTAAAAAGGAATAATTGTAAGAAGAATTTTTATTTTGTGTCACAAATTTTTTATTTAACAATATGGGTAGAAGAGATATTACATCTGCTATCTTTGATACAATTTTAAATTTATAATGTAGTTAACCAGTTTATTTATCAAAGGAAAATTTAGATGAATTAATAAAGCATATTGGAGATGAAGATGGTTAAACCGTTTAAAAAAGTCTATTCATATTAGTCAATTATTTAGAGATAATGAAGAAAATAGAATTAGATGAAGAAGTTATAATATTATTAAATGAACTTTTTAAAAATAAGGACTACTTAGCTTTATTAAGACTATGTAATATATTATATCCAAGAATATAACTTGAACCAAAGTTAATTCTATAACGAATGGAAATGTGTGCATTTGGACTTAAATTACAGGAATATTTCACTTTAATTAATAAGTTAATAATAGATAAAATATTATCACCTTCTTAATACTTGAAATCTTTGTAAAATATAGAAATGGAGAATTAGTGTGAAAATAATAAATCTATGATTTTATAATAAATATCTTAATATCAAGATTGATGTAAATATATATATTATTCTATATCACTAATTAACTCTAGTAATTGATGACGCATAGGTTTAAAACTGTACTTGAATCCAAGTAGGTTTCTATTTGGAGAGAGATGGTTGATATTGACTCTCTCTAATTTTTCAGGATAGTTCTTGAATGCATGAAACTTCTATAAATATTGTTTGAATCTTTCAACTGACTAGATTATGAAATTAATGAGAATACATTCTTATTTTAATCTGATTTCATTCTTTATTCTAATTATTCATCTATTGTTTATTTCAGAATAGATTTTGTTTAATTCATAACAGGTATCTTTTTTTCAAAGAATTTTCTTTTGAGTTATCTTTCATGCAATTCTTTTACATTATCAAACATATCAACATCATTTTAAAGTACTCCATTTTTTGTTACACATCTTTATGGTCTATTAGGAGTTGCTACTTCTACTTAAAATTCAGGATCAGATAAAATTTAATTGTTTAATGTTCCAATATCTAATTAAGTTGTTAATTTAATTTCTGTTTCATTTCCTTATATTAAACCTAATTTTGATAAAACCATATTATTCATAACTTATGATTAATAATTGATTTTCTTAATGTATGTCTTAATTGATTCAACAGAATGATTTTTAGCTGCACTATCATTTGATTCCTTAATAAAATTCATTGCTCTATCATGATATTCTTAAGCCAATCTTAATTCACCTTGTACATAATAGAGTACTCCAAAATAATCATAAATTGTAGCTTCATTTTCTGTATCATTTAAATACCAGACATATTGTAAAGCCTTTTTAAGATATAATTTGCTTAAATGATATGATTGTTGTAATTTACACAGATCTCCCATTTATATGAGTGCTTCAATTTTTAATGTTTGATTATTTTAAATATCTGCCAGAATGCGTAAAACATTATATATGTATAAACCATTATTAAACTCTCTATTTGATATATACATGTCTGCTAATAAATGTAATGATTTGCCAAAAATAGTCAGATCATAACCAATACATTGTTATACCAATTTTTTTGTTACTATAGTATTGGATTAATCAATTACTCTCTAAAGCTTCATCCAATTATCTTTCGTATATGCATTTTATCAATTCCTTTTTTAAAGTGTTCAATTAAATCAGAACTCCATTCTCCTCTAAAACAAGTTTTCTTGAAGATGATAGAACTTAATTATGTTTGGTATACAAATAAGGTAATTTTGGAATTTTACGAGAAGAAATGCTATGATTGTTAATCGTTGTTTCTATCTAAGAAGTATTTGTAACTAATTTTGTTTTGATGGATTTCATTGATATTAAATAAATACAATTATAATTCAGAATATTCAATTTAACTTAGTTAGTTATATATATATATTTTATATTGCTGTTTCCTTAGGAATATAATATATATCGAAACTTATTTTAATTCAAATTATTGTAACACACATTAGAACTACAATAAAGATTGATTAATTTGAAATCTATATGATTTTAGAAACATATAATATAAATATTTTCATTAATATTATAAAACGGAATGCTTTATATATTGACCTTAACTTAGTTGCTATTTTTAGTAGTTACTTAGGATCCTGTTGATAAACTATTTGAGTTTTAGTAGCTCATGAAATAAAAAATCAAAGTCCCAAGTAATCGTTTTTGAACTATTACTTAGAATAAAAAATTAGTGAATATGATAGTTCAGACATATTCAGTGAAGGATATATTACAGTAAGTGAGTTATCTGAAGAAGATGAATATTAATAATATGATGAAATATCATAATATGATATGGTGGATGAATCAGATGAATCAGATGATGAAGATGAAATGATTATATAATAATAAAAAGAATAATAAAGAATAGAATTATAGAAAATTGAATAATAAAAGATTGAATAATAGAGAATTGAATAATAAAGATAGGAATAATTAAAATTGGAATAATAAAGGTAGGAATAGTTAAGATTAGAATAATAAATTAAAGAATAATAATTAATGGAATTATAGAAATTAGAAAGATTAAAATTGGAATAACAAACATAAATAATAGAAAATGAAAAGAAAAAAAAGTAAATTATTGAAATTCCAGAATAATGGAGTGATGATGATGATGATAATAATAATTAAATTATATAGGTTACTAAATAATAAAAGAAAAGGAAATAGAAGAAACCAGAATTTGATGATAATTAAATATTAGAAGTCTTAAACACAGCTAAGAAAACAAAAGTTTAATCTCTTGAAGATTTTGAAGAAATGGAAAAGAAAATTGTAAAAAAGAAAAAAAAGAAAGAGTCAATTCCAGAAGATGAATTTGTGTAGAAAGTACCTGCTTAAAACTAAACCTTTATTCATTTTAATAATAAGAATAATTATTTAGAATTAGCACCTTGTAGCAATAATCCTATTTAATAAAGAGCATGTAGTTTATGTAAAAGTGAAGTTGGATACTAATTAGATGATGATAATTGGTATATGATTGGTTTATAACATGGATACAAAAAGGAATTTCTTTTATTGATAGAAATAACTAAATAATCATTTGGAGATAGTCAATTGTATTTGAGTTTTTCATCTAATGGATCTGCTTGTATGACTAGTGATACTCTTAAATAAGATATTGATGTTGAAAATGTTTTATAAAGATTTTCAGGTAAATCATGGAGACATTTTATAAAAAATGAATTGTTTGCTCTTCCATAAAAGTTGGAGGGCAGAAGTTTTTAATTCAAAGCTATCTATCAAAACAAATAATTTACATTTTCAGATTTTGAAATCAAATTTACATCCAATCTAATTCAAGAATTAAAGTCTTTATCTAATTAAGAAGTTACTATTAGAACTAATACAATAGAATTTATTGGAGAATAAGTATAAATATTATTTAATTAAATAGTTGTAATGCACATTAACAGGATTGATGAAATAATAAAATGATGAATTACCATACTCATTAAAATTTAAGAATGGTGAAGCAACATCAGAACTTCTTATTCCAAATTGCTAAATTCCATTACACAATGAAATCTTGTATGGTGTTTCAGATTTATATTTTGGAGAGTACTTTAAAGAGACTTTACAATAAAAATTGAAAGGAAACTTTAGAGGAGATTTTAATGCCACGACTTCATTTGAGAATGGAAAATTAAAAGTGAGATTGGCAATGAAGAAATTTAATAAATGATTAATGCATCTATATATCACTCATGTTTTTATTTTGGCTTTTCTAGAATTCCCAATTAATTGAGATATAACACTAATTTATCAAATATTATTATTGCACCTAAAATAAATATACACGTAAATACCTCTGGTTTTTGGATAATACATCCAAATAAGAGTCATATTTTTGATAGGGAAATACAATTATAATAAGTCATGAAATGCAAACCACATCACTCTATCTAACAGAAACATGAGTAAATAAATAACCCAATAAGAAAGCCACATTTTAGATTTTGCATTATCCTTTTATTTCACACATTAAACACTCATGTATGCAGGATATAGTATACCAATCAATATTTTGACTAATAAATTTCCAGCTCCAAATATTGTGAGTGTAAATGCAACAAAAATTATACCTAAAATTAATTATCCTGGATTGACATTAAATTTTTGAGCAATTTATTAAAGTGGAGCTACATCACTAAAATCATCAGAAATTCTCTTAAATATCTCATCTAAATTTTCTAATTAAGGCTCTTTTTATGGTCTTTTAGGTCCTAAAGGTTGTGCTGGTTTATTTTCAATATTAGAATCTATTTATTACACTTTTTCTTCAGACATAATTTAGATAATTAATTTAACAATAATATATCAGAATATTTCATTCAAACTATATTACTATATGTTATTTGAAATTATAAATAAATTAAAAATCAAGTCTTTTTCTTTTATTAAGCTTTTTGTTATAATTATTAAAGTTGTTATTACAAGAATTATTATTATTAATAAAACTTATTATCCAAATTTTATGTTTATTATTAAAATGTATTATACATTTAAGAAACAAAATTAGTTGCACTTTTTTAACTAGTTAATTTCTATTATTACTGAATTCCAACTTAACTTTATGATTTCTTTAATTATTGTGATTATATTTATTGTTATTTAATAATATTTTATATCTCTTCAATATTAGATTTCTATAATTATTGTTATTATTATTATTATTATTGTTAAGTTTAATGTTAAATAGAGCTTCCATTAACATTTTCATGACCTTATAATGATTTCCCTTAAGATATCATTTCAGATTGCTCCTAATGTAATCTTATAATAAATTTATCATTTATTACCCATTAATAAGTTCATCAGGATTCATTCCTAATTACTACAAGTATTTGGCTTACCACTTCTTTCTTTGTTCCTTTTTTCTTCTATTTATATCATTATACAAAGCTTCTCTATATTCTTTAATAGAAAACTTCTTATTATCATTCATAGGTATTCTTATAGGCTCTGAACATTCAATCTCTTCATCAGGAGAAGAGAATTCTTTCAAATACTTATGTTTAATAGCTTAATGAACAGTAAGTCTCATCTTTGGATTGAATTATAAAAGTCTATATAATAAATAAAAATGATATTTAAACCTTCTTAATAAATCTAAACAATCATCTGAGGCTCCTGAAAAAAATTATTAGAATGATCTTCTTTTTTGAATTGAAACAGATGCTAGAATATTAACAGCTAAGGGAGATTCAAGTGATTCAATGTCTGCATCATTTGGTTTACCTAATAATTCAATTATTCTTTCAATTTAATTTAATGTAGATGTTCCTGGAAAAATTGCCTTACCTATAATCAACTCACCCAAAATACAACCAACACTCCACATATCTACAGCTTTTGTATAATTAGTTGATCCTAGTAATATTTCAGGAGCTCTGTACCATCTAGTAGCAACATATTCTGTCAAAACAGGAGGATCTAAACGTTAAATTTAAATATCATCATACTACTGTCATCTTCAGTGATTGCTATACTTCTGGCTAAACCAAAATCTGCTAATTTCATGTGACATTCAGAATTTAGTAAAATGTTAGAAGGCTTTAAGTCTCTATGAATAAGTTCTCCTGAATGTATGTATTTTAGTGATTTCAAAATTTAATAAACAACATATTTTTTATGAACTTCTTCTAGTATACCTGCTCTCTATTCAATTTTATTTAATATATTTACAATCACAGCATGTAAATCTGTTTCCATATAATCAAATACTAAATAAATGTCCTTATTGTTTTCTGCTTTTATGATATTCAACAACCTCACAATGTTTTCATGTCCATTTAACTCCTACAAAAACATTATTTCTCTAAATGTTCTTTAAGCATCTGTAGCATTATGGAAAGCATCAAATACTTTTTTTAAAGCCACTACCTAAACTGTAAATAACAAGTCTTACTGTCTTTAGCTTCTTATCCACAGCCTTCCAAACTATTCCATAGGCACCTTTTCCTAATTTTTGAATGATTTCGAATTTTCTAGCAATATGAGGTTCAATTTCTTCAGTCATTTAATTTATATTTAATTTTTACTCATAAGAATTTCTCCAACAACAATACTATTTATGATGTATCTAAAATTAAATGAAGAAGGATTTGAAAAGGATATATCTATTAGATCAATAAAACATTATCAAACTTTGGATCTCAAAGATCATCAAATAATTAAATTATTCTCAATTGAATAAAATCTATTTAAGCATATAAAATAATTCACAGATAATATTTTAACTTTAGAATGTTAATCTATAAAATTTATATCTAACAAAATTTTAAATTATATTATAAATGAAACTATTTTAATCGATATAATTAACGATAATCTAAGTGAATACAAATATATTAGGTTTTGACTATTCAATATATTTTTGGATTCATTAATTCTACACTTTTTTATTTACTTTTGTTAATTAATTGAATTTTGTAAATTTAAAAAAAGAAATTAAAAATTCATCTGTAATTATAGCGAACACAAAGAACCAGATAGTTGTTTATAAAGAATCTGCTAGCAATTTGAATATCTCAATGTAATATTTACTAATTGTTAAAAAAACATTCAGAAACAATATTAAATATAAAAAAAAATGCTGATTTTTATTTTAAATAATATATATCAATAAATTTTTTCAAAATCCAATTTATATTTTGTAAAAATTGTTAATTGTAATTTCAATTATATTTTTGATATGAATAGTACTGTTTATTCTTTATTCAAACTTTTTATTCTTTCATTGAGAATATTTTTATATTCCCCTTTCCTGCCTCTTAATTATACTACTTAATGAAATTATATTAAATTGAATATGCTAAAATCTAAAAATTTAAATTCGCTTTAAAATTGATTTTATTTTATCATAATCATATTAATTAAAATCTTGATATATTAATGTTAAACATATCATTTTATCCTACTTTTTAGATATATATGAAAATATTAAATCTAGGTCAATAATTATAATATAATTATGTACGAAAATTTATTTACAATCTGTTGTAAATAATTGAGGAATTGATAAAAAATAGATAGCCTATACAATTAATTGATAGTAAACATAGTAAATACATTTAAGCTTAGAATAGTTTGGAATTTCTTTTTTATAATAAAACATTAATCAGTTTAATAATGAATTTGAAAAGAATTATTTAATTTTTATATTAAAGTATACTTTATCATATATGTGATTTTATAAAAGGATTAAGGTATAAAATAAGTTTAGATCAATTGAAAATAGTTATACATATAAATTGATATTATATAATAGTTCTATGCATTTGATATATATAAACTATAAAATTATAACAAAATGATATTAATATTTTTAAATTTCTATGCTTAATAATCCACTCTCTCCTCCATTACAATGCTAATCCACTTAAAATGCTTTAGCTGTTCTACCACCTTCTGCTAATATTTCAGCAAAATAGAAAATTCATGTTTCAAATTTGCCTCTTAATATTACTGCTCAGCATTTGTAATAAGCATTTTAATCTTATGGAAATATAATAGATATTCGTATAATTAGGAAAACTCCAAATGGTAATGAATTGATGCTATTATAAGGACTTCCATTAAATTTATCATGTTATGCATTTATTGCATTTGCCGATAACGAATCAGCTGAAAAAGCAATTTAAGATGGCGGTTTAGGTGAATGGAGTATCAAACCTTAAATTGATAAATAAATGGTTGTTAAACAAAGGTCTCGATCAAGATCAAGATCATAAGAGAAACATAGATAAGTGCTTAAAAGTGGTTCTATTATTCCATTAGAACAATCTCCGAAAATACAAATTCAGCTATATGTTAGAGAATTATTTGTGAATGGCATATCAAAGAACTATGATGAACCGCAAATAAGATAGGTAATACAATGTGAAAATTATAGATATTTTCTTAATTTGGTTCTATAGAGAGGATTGATCTGTATNATCAATAAATTTTTTCAAAATCCAATTTATATTTTGTAAAAATTGTTAATTGTAATTTCAATTATATTTTTGATATGAATAGTACTGTTTATTCTTTATTCAAACTTTTTATTCTTTCATTGAGAATATTTTTATATTCCCCTTTCCTGCCTCTTAATTATACTACTTAATGAAATTATATTAAATTGAATATGCTAAAATCTAAAAATTTAAATTCGCTTTAAAATTGATTTTATTTTATCATAATCATATTAATTAAAATCTTGATATATTAATGTTAAACATATCATTTTATCCTACTTTTTAGATATATATGAAAATATTAAATCTAGGTCAATAATTATAATATAATTATGTACGAAAATTTATTTACAATCTGTTGTAAATAATTGAGGAATTGATAAAAAATAGATAGCCTATACAATTAATTGATAGTAAACATAGTAAATACATTTAAGCTTAGAATAGTTTGGAATTTCTTTTTTATAATAAAACATTAATCAGTTTAATAATGAATTTGAAAAGAATTATTTAATTTTTATATTAAAGTATACTTTATCATATATGTGATTTTATAAAAGGATTAAGGTATAAAATAAGTTTAGATCAATTGAAAATAGTTATACATATAAATTGATATTATATAATAGTTCTATGCATTTGATATATATAAACTATAAAATTATAACAAAATGATATTAATATTTTTAAATTTCTATGCTTAATAATCCACTCTCTCCTCCATTACAATGCTAATCCACTTAAAATGCTTTAGCTGTTCTACCACCTTCTGCTAATATTTCAGCAAAATAGAAAATTCATGTTTCAAATTTGCCTCTTAATATTACTGCTCAGCATTTGTAATAAGCATTTTAATCTTATGGAAATATAATAGATATTCGTATAATTAGGAAAACTCCAAATGGTAATGAATTGATGCTATTATAAGGACTTCCATTAAATTTATCATGTTATGCATTTATTGCATTTGCCGATAACGAATCAGCTGAAAAAGCAATTTAAGATGGCGGTTTAGGTGAATGGAGTATCAAACCTTAAATTGATAAATAAATGGTTGTTAAACAAAGGTCTCGATCAAGATCAAGATCATAAGAGAAACATAGATAAGTGCTTAAAAGTGGTTCTATTATTCCATTAGAACAATCTCCGAAAATACAAATTCAGCTATATGTTAGAGAATTATTTGTGAATGGCATATCAAAGAACTATGATGAACCGCAAATAAGATAGGTAATACAATGTGAAAATTATAGATATTTTCTTAATTTGGTTCTATAGAGAGGATTGATCTGTATCCGAATAAGCATAATATATTTAACAGTTATATAAAATTTTTTACTGTATAAACGTTTTTTTATTTGAATTTAGATAGAATAAGCTATTTATGCTTTTTAAAATATGGATAGTATTTAGTAATAGTTTTCTACTCAAATAAAAATATATTTTTCTGATCCTATCAAAAGACATAATATTGTTGGAAATAAGTAAACACAATTTTATAGCATTTTTTTAGTTTATAATATGAATCATAATCTAAACTTTCATCAGTATTATTTATTTTTTTTCCTCCTAATTCAAATAAAAAAGTCGATCATGCATTTTTATTAGAAGTAATGTTTAAAAAATCATATTTTAAAAGATTTGTTAAAATAATAAATGTCGTCCTCTCCTTTGGAATTATTATCAATAAGATTCTAATTATAAATCTTACACTCTCCTTTAATTTAAAGATATTCACTAAGCTATTCAAATGAGAACTTATTTTTAATCTAATGCTGCAGATATTCTAGGGGATCCAAAATGTGAAGTTGGTATAGTCTCTATTCCTTCACCTCAATAATATTAACCACAACTACCTGTAATGATACAATAATAGTAATTTACAAATAATGTATTGATGTCTCAATAAATTCCCTCTTAAAAATATTAGATACCGTATTAAATGCCAGCTTATCAATAATTATAATAATAACCAATCATTTACTAATAAATGCATCATCATCATCATCATTATATATAAAATAATGATTAAAAGATGTAACAATAATAATTACATGATCCAACCAAATTCTTATTCCATTAGACTTAAACTTCAAATGAACCAATAAATAAACTCTACAACTCTTAATAATAGTTGAGTTAATAAATAGAGAATTAAGAAATTCTAGATGGATTTTAAAATTTTTCTTAAATTTAATAAAGATAAGACCTTAATGATTTTTGGAGTGGTTTTATGTATAGGAGTAAAAGTCATAGAGTAGGGGTAGATGCCTTTTGTATAGAATCAGATGTAATATTTATTAAATATTAAGTAGCCTCCTATACAAATGAGTCCATAAATATAAGTCAATTATAAGGGGAATTTTTCAGATGCTAAGAAATGTGCTAATGATTCATTTAAATTCATATTATGTCCTTCTGATTCAACATAAGTAATCTGAATAATTTATATAAATAGAATAGAGCTTTCTAAGAATATATTGATTACTTTCTTGAAAAAAAGAAGATAGGAGTGGCTTAATTAGGAAATGGTATTTTATATTTGTTACCACCATGTGAAATTACTAATTCTATTATGGTAATATCTGGATTGGAATTGTTAGCAATATTTTCTGAAGAAAAAAAGAAATCCTTAAATTATAACTTAGATTATCAATGATGATTTATATAGATATTTAATTATTTCTATTTATTTAATTACTTGGAACAAATTTGTATTTATAATATATAAATTAAACAAAATAGTAAATTTTTTTATTAATATATTTATATATGGAGGAATTATTGGCTCTTTAATAACAATTAGCAGAGATCTAGGAAACATCAACAAAGTATAGATTATCTGATAGAATCATAATTGATTTGATTGAAAAACTAGTTAAAGAATATGATTTAAAGGTTTATCATTCAACAGATGGTCAAAGTTTGGTTACTCCAAATTAGTTGTCAAAAGAGATTCATCAATTAATATTATCAAATAAGAGAGTAGCAGTAAATCAATTACCTGAAATATTGGGTATAGGATTTGATAAAATTGAAGGATAAATAGAAAAGGATAGCAATGGTTGGGTATTTTTCATATTAAATATTGATAACAGGATGTTGTCAGAATGCAAGATGAAATGATGTCTCATGATTATATTTTAAATGTTTGTGAAGAGATTAACGAAGATCTTTAATAAAAGTCAATTATTTCATTATAAGAAAGTATAAACCATTTAAATTTTATCATAAGTAATGTAGAAGTATGCATTTCCAAAGTAATTTATAACAAAATATATCCTTAAATAAGTTGGATCAGTCATATAAGGTGTATGTAATGAAGACAAATTAACAACAGTGACTTATCAAGAGATAATTACAGCAAGACTATGTGGAATATTAAGAGCCACTTTAAGTCCTGTATCATTCTTAAAATTGAATAAAGATTTAGAAATTCAAAATTCTTAAAAGATTTGTGAATAATTGTTGTTAACCAAATAAATTGATGGTAAGATCATTTCAGGTTAATATATAAGTTCAAGATTTCTTTAAAATTAAGAGGCTCAAGTGAAATCATTTTTTGAATAAAACTCTTATGTAGAATATGATAAACTTTATTCACAGTTTTTTATACAAAAGCCAAAGGAATATTTAAAATAGATGTTTAAAGATAATGTGATATTCTTGGATACATGTGGTTTTAGCAAAGATGCTCTTATATCCAAATAAGATTAAATATAAGAATTACTAATAAATGAAGGTCATACAAATCTTTAGGAAATATTACCTGTCATTTTAAGTGATTAAGATATTGAAACTTTGTTTTCATTAATGTAATTAAATAATTGTGAATATGCCAACTTTATGATATTTCATAAACCATTTTTAGATAATTTAGCATTGGCATTTAAGGATAAAATAATAGAATCAATTTATTAGAATCCTTAGAAATTGATTGAATAACAATAAAATTAAGATGATACACCTTAAGATATATAAGCATCAGCAGGAGGATTTACAAATAAGAAAAATAAAAAATAATAATAACCATAAAAAAAGAAATAATAAAATAAATAAGAATTATTTACAAATAAAGAAATAACTGATTTACTAACTTAAAAAAAATTAGTTGAATATAATGATTGTGTAGATGAATTATTTTAGTTTTTATAGCCAAGATTGTCTACTTTATATGAATAGATTAAAATTGAATTATTTGAAAGTAAGAAATCTGCATCAAGTTAAGTAATTTAAGAGATTTAAAAAAAAATTGAAGATATGGCATTAGGTTTATTGATAACTTAAAGATCATTATAAAAAATATAATAAGAATGTCATGAAGTTAATACAAAAGTATTAGTGGATAATTGTTTATTTGGATATAGATTACTAGTTGAAAATTTAGTTGTAATTACTTGTAAAAAGTATAATATTCAACTTCCATAAAATTTATTTGTTGATCCTAATCATCCTAGTGTATTAAATGGTCAAATTAATTTTGGATTATAAAAGACTGGAAGAGTATTTTTAAATAAAGTTGCTTTAGGAGAAGCTATTGCATTTTTACCAAAAGAGTAATAGAAGGCATTGAAAGACACTATGGAATTATATACAAAGAAATCTTTAGATGTTTTATCATAACATTAATTTTTTGATGTTTTCAATTTAAAAGTGCATTTAGATAAAAAAAATGATAGAAATCTACTTTTATTTATTAAACATCATTGTAAAGAATATATTAAATAAAGATAAAATGAGATCTTTGATGAAAATATATTTAATTAAATAATTCTAGCAATGTCAACAGATTTAGGTTTATATTTTGTAGGAAATTATGATTAATAATTTTATTCTGCTTTAAAATAAGTTGTTTATGAATTATAAAATGAAAAATAGATTAAAACCTTATTAAATAATATCATAAGTATATATATATATATTATTTAATTTAGATTCACTTAATTAATAATTAGAAATTACAGCAGAGACTAAAGAATTATTAGAATTACTAAAGCTCTTATGATGGAAATCTTAATTATATAAATACATATTAATATAATCATTATAATAAAAAAATAATAAAAAATACTTAAGTAAATTTTCTTATTAAGAGGATAAATTAATAAGAGTTTTAATATTTTAATTTGTGATTTAATGTTTAGATTTCGAAGAGCCATAAATCTATTTAATAGAAAAGATGGTTTCATTACAAAATTGAAAAACAAATTACTTAAGGATGATGAAGATGAAAAATAGATAATTCCTCATTAAACTCTTAAATAACCACTTAATGTTAAATAAGAAATTGAATAGTTCATTACTTAATAAACAGAAATTAGTGATTTAGAAAGAATTAGAATGAAGAATTTAGATAATAAATTAGGCACAAATACATATTTTCATGAAATATAATCATATGAAGAAAGATTGGATTCAGATAATGTTATGAGAAGATAAATTTTAGCAAGAAGAGAATTATAAAAAGAAAAAGATTTGGCAGTTGCTCATTTATTTAATCCAGATCCTTAATAAAAAGTTAAAACACCTTGGATTCGTAATATTAATGATTTCACATCTGAAGCTATTAAATAAAGTATTATATAAATTTAAGTTTATTAGTTCCTTATCCTAAACATCCTAAAATATTTTCAGAAGGTGATTTCTTTAGATATTTTGAAGAAAAACACTATGAAGTTGATAAAGTTGCTCAATTTGATTTTTCAGAATCATTATACACTTAATTAGTTTAAATTTAAACTTTGAGAAGAGAAGAAACAGTAAAACATAGATACTTGGAATTATTAGATTGTTATTAGAATATTCCAATCGTATTTAATGAATACACATACTTTAGTAAGGATTCCAAAGAAGGTCATCCAATTTATAATATATATAAGAGAAAAAATGAAAGTAAGAGTTTATAAACTATTTAATGAGAGCAGCAAATTAGACAAAGAACTTATTAAAGATGATGATGAATTAGTTTTTAGTGGTAAAATAATAGCAGATTTGATTCCAAAACATTATGAAGATTTAATATTAGACATTGAAGTATAAATAATATATATAAATTTAAAAGGAAGAGAAATATTAATCTTTATATAATGAGTTCTTACCTAATTAATCACATGATATATATGGATGTATAATAGAATAATAAGGTTTAAGTTTCTTAATTATTCGTTCTGATAAAATATAATTAGTATTAGAAAATGTATCTAATACATTTACTTTAATTGATAATTATCTTTACTATATTGAAAAATCAGATCTTGATCTTTAAAAATATGTATTAAAATTAAATTTGTAAAATTTTGAAGAAAGAAATATTATATATGAAATTTCACCTGGAGAAAATGCAAAAATTAAAAATTTAGGAATTGGAAAAGCTGTAATAGAAATTTAGATGGCTAATGAAAATAAATTTATTGATCTAAATGGAAAAGATATTGTTTCTTATAAATAAGGATATAAATACAATATAGATTAAAATAAAGTTAATACTTTTATAAGTTAATACAGATTAGAAGAATAATAAAAAGAAATTAGAACATAAGAAGGTCATCTTGTATATGAATGCAAATAAGGCAATATTCAATCATTTTGTTCAAATAATCATTTTTTAGCTATACATGAAAGAAATTCATCAAGTTTTATACCAGATAAATTAATCATTCTTAAAGAAAAGAAGAATCATGAATTAGTCATACAAGAATCCTAATATTCCATAAATTTAGAAAATAATTAAATTAAAGAGTCAAATATATTATATTTTCATTTAATATGCCCTTATAAACCATTTCAAATATTAAAATATAATATAGATATAAAGTCTATATCTTTACATTTTTCTGAATAATTTCCAGGATTTGATTATAATAGACTTTAAGTGGATAATTTTAAGATATCAGATGAATTTAATGTTTGTGTATCATTTTTATAAGATCTGCCTATTTAATTTGTTTTGATACAATTAATTGATTAAACCTAATACTAATCTTTAAGTTAAGAAGATGTAGTACTCTATGAGAATGGTTGTGCAATTTGTTAAATTATTGTTAATCCAAGTTGTTAATAATAAGTTTTGGATAATCTTTAAAAAGTGTTTTAAGAAGTTTCAGTACTTTCTGATAAAGTTATATTAAAAACTAAGGGAGCATTATCTGGTTTGATTGGGAGTTATACACATTTCTTTGTTCAATAATTTTATGGATTTTTATGTCATGTAAAATATATAAATAAATAGATTAGAATGGATTATTTGATAATTCAAAAAATATGATTGATTTACCAATAAGTTCTTATGATATTACAAAGGTTCCTAGTTTAAGAAATACATTTATAAGTTATACATTGAATGATGAATTGACATATCAATCTTAGAAAATGGTTGCATTATTGAGAGAAAATAAAGATAATGAAGTAGATTTAAAGTATTTATATTTAATATTTTTAGAAAGTAATTTGGAGTTGTATTATAATAATGTGAGTCAGATATTGATGAAGCTATCTTTAGATTAACATTTTTAATGTCTATTTTATGATTATTAAGAGTATATTATCAATAATATAAAGAAATATATTTTGAAATAACATATTATTAGGAATAGTAGCCTAAAATAATAATTATGAATTTGTATTTTATGTAATAATAACTCATTCTTAAGCAGCATCCTATTTTGCTTTGAATTCCTTCTCCTATTGAAGAGCATATTCAATAGTTCGCTGAAACATAGATTAGCAATTCTTACTTTTTTGTTGTTGAATTAATAAACCCAGAGCCAAGGATAATAACATAATGAAAAGATCACAACAGAATTAGCAAATATGTAGACTTACCAAGCCCAAGGATTATCAGCAACATTTCTTCCTAAGAATCTCCAGAAGGCTTTCACTTTTGGATCAGCATTCAATCTAGATACAACTTATGGTTTTCTGACTTGATATTGATATTTTATTAAATCGTACCAAAACTTGGTTTGACTGTTTATTAATAAGGAATAGTCTTAAACCATTAAGGAGTGTAATCCTTAACATTGTTGTAAATCAATCTGCCGTAAACCATTAATAAATATAATTAATCAAAATTATATATTATGAAGTATAGCTGTGATAATTCAAACAAATCAAAAAGTTTATCAAATCTATAACTGATATCAGAATTAAATAATTTAATTAATAGCTTCATATATCTATAAAAAATGAAGAGTTAGCATTATTTTTAATGAAAGCTATAAATTTTAATAATTATTTTTTATATGGTCTAAGTAAATATTCTCGAATGAATTTAAAATTAAATTAAAAGTATATTATGAAAATATGTGATTATTGGTTATATAATTAATATTTAAATTTAAGAAAGATTCTCTTAAATTCTTTAATAACTTGATATATAGACAATCAATTATTGTTTAAATTAGAAATAAGAGAATTTAACATATAAGTTAATTATTATAAATTACTAGTTTTGATTTTTTTTAATTTATGAAGATGAACATTATTAAACACTCATTTGACTTTTGATCCTCAGAATTTTTAATATTATTGGTTATTAAAAGTCTGATTCTATTTAAATCTCTTATATATTAAATTTTTTTGATAATACTCTATAATACGTTATAAGTTATTTTATAATTCGTTTTTAAATTCTTACCTATTGTTGGATTTCAAAATACATGATTTTTAGTATATAAATTAGATTATCTTATTCTCAAATACCTATCCTGAATATAAATTATAGATTAATATTATGTATTAATAATGCAGTGTATTTTGACATGCAATAAACTTAAAATACATTAGAATTTTTGATTTTTAATTTAGGCATGACTCCTTTTGTTCTATTATGTATTTTAGTTTTAGGACACTCAATGAAAGTTTCTTTTAGCAATTAATGTACCTGCTCTAAATTCTCGTCTGATACAAGTTGTTTAGAGTAAACAAACTGTATTTGGAGAAGTGAAGGTTGCCAAAAGAGAGATTGTACTGAATACTATGATAAAGATAAGTGTAATAGGGTTGCATCCTGTTCATGGAATGTATCAAAATGTGAAAAGTTCACTAAATGTTCTAATTACTTTATGAACGATTCTTTTGATTGCTACAAAATAGGTGATCAAAATTTAAATCTTTATTGTGAGCCTTCAGATGAAGGAAACACATGTAAAGAGTATAAACCTAAGTAATGTGGGGATGTTGAAGAAGATTGTACAGGATTTTAAAGTTAATGGAGTTTATGTTACTGGAATAATAACAGTTGTAATCTAGTGGATATACGATATTGTGATCAATTATTCAATGAAGAATTGTGTTTAATATTTGGAGAGGGTCTTGGATGTCAATGGAAAGAGAATAAATGCACAGTTATATCGTGTTTAGATTATACTTCAGAAAGTACATGTGTTTTACAAAGATAAAATTTTATAGAAGATGATCCATTACTTTGTAGATGGAGTGAAATCAAATGTGAGGAAGCTTAAGATATTTCTCATCTTGATTTTTCAAACTGTTTAGTGAATTCCTTTTATAATTATATTTGGGATTCAATTAATAAGGAATGTGTTTCTTGTCTAACTTATGTTCCACCAAGTACAACAACTCCGCAACCATGATGTGAAACAATATAAATTTTATTTTAGATATATCTAATATAATTTTTATTCTTTGCATAAATATTAATCTCCACTGTTATCCATTAATATAAAATTTAAAAATTGTATAATAATATTAAAAAGTATATTTGTAATTAGATCATATATATATTTATTAAATTTAGATTTATTCATTGTTTTGATACTAAGAAAGGATCGAAGAAATTGGTAAATCTTAGTAAAATTATCAAATTGTTTAATTTTATTTGAAATAATTTGAAATAATTTATATTATACTAAAATATTTAGATATTATGATAAATTCATAGCTTAAATCATCATTTTTAATTTATAATCTAAATAAAATTCATTAATAATTCAAATTTTCATTTTATCAAAGTATGTAATTTAAAAAACTGTATTTTATGAGTATAAGTTATAAATTCATTATACTAATATTATAATATATTAAATTTATTTTAAAATAATGGGTAATGCATGCCGTTGTTAATAATTCACAAATGAAAATTTAGAGTTGACTTAAGGAAAAGGAGTAGTAGTTAATAAAAAAGGAGATACTATCACAATTCCTTAATAAAATGGTACAACAATATCAAAAAAAACTACTCAAAAATAGATTGATGATGAAGGTGAGGATGATGAATAACCATAAGATTTATAATAAATAGAAGTATCAATTCTATTTATAAACTTATTAGCTTAAAAGAGGAGATCGAAAAAAATAAGCTAAGATAAATGCAGTATCAGATACTGTAGAAATATTTGAAAATATTCTTAAAGTTGAGAAACGAAAATCTCCATTTGATTATCAATTAATGTTAAATGCTTTTAATGATCATTTCATATTCAAATCAGTGCCTTAAAGTGATATTGAATATGTAGTTGAATAAATGTTCTATTGTACTGTTCCAGATGGTTAATTCGTATTCAAATAAGGAGATAAAGCATCTTCTTATTTTCTTATTGAAAGGGGTTAATGTTAAATTATTATCAATGGAGAATTGAAGAAAACCTTAAAGAGTGGAGATGCTTTTGGTGAATTAGCAATGTTATATAATGCTCCTAGAAGTGCAAGTGTTAAAGCAGTTGGAGGTATTATTAATTAATTTAATTATTTTTAGATTGTGCTTTTTGGGCTATTGATAGAAACACTTTTAGAAAAGTAGTAGAGTAATAAAATCAAAGAAATTATGATGAAAATCGTGAATTTATGAAAAAAGTGGAATTTTTTTGTATTTATTTTAATAATATTTATTATAGCCTTCTTAACTGAAGAACAAAGAGATGCTATATGTAATGTTCTTATTACTTTGTTATTTAAAAAAGGAGAAATTATAGTATCAGAAGGTGATGTGGCTAATTCATTTTATATCATTAAAAAAGGAAAGGTATCAATTATTAAAGGAGACAAAGAAGTGACTTAGATGAATGCAGGAGAATCATTTGGAGAAGCTGCATTATATCAAAGTTGCTAGAGAGCTGCTACTGTTAAGGCTGCTGATGAAGAGGTTAGATGTCTTTCATTATCAAAAGATGATATATAAAAAATATTAGGTTAAAAAATTTAAACAGTTAAATATATTAACACATAGAAATGGGCATTACAACAAAATCCAATTTTAGGGAAATTAACATCAATATAAATTGAAAAGATAATTTAGAATGTGAGATAAGTACATTATGAGAAAAATGAAATTGTTTTAAAGGTTGGACAACAATGTCTAAAGGTTTATATAGTTTTAGAAGGTGAAATAGCAACAGTAACAAATTATTTCGTAACTATAAGATATTTAGATTCCTTCAAACAAATATGTATTCGGTAAAGGCAAAGTTTTTGGTGATCAATTCTTGAAGTCATCTAATATAGATAATAAAATGGCAGAGAGTTTACAAGTTAAATCAAATGAAGCCATTATTGCAGAATTTGAAATCAAAATGTTTATGTAAATGATTGGAGGTAGTGTTGAATAAATGATATAAAAAAATGAAAATTCTCATGAACAAAAATATCTTAATCGTCCTAGTGCTTTATTAAAAAAAGATTATTCCAATATTACATTAGATAAACTTATTTGTATTAAGAAATTAGGATAAGGTTAATTTGGGAATGTATATTTGGTAAGAACCAATTAAGAAGATAAACTCTATGCATTAAAATGTATAAGTAAAGCATAAATTGTGGAATAGCATTTAGAAAGACATTTAGCTGTATTCTTCTATTATTATTATTTAGTAAGAGAAATAAGTGCTTTCAACAATTAATTTCCCATTTTTAATGCAATTCTACAAAAGCATGAAAGATTAAAATTATATTTATTTTTTGATTGAGTTTATTAAGGGAATGGAATTATTCGATGCTATTAGAGAAATAGGATTATTGAATGTGACAGATTCTCAATTTTATATAGGATCATTATTGATTTGTGTTGAATATTTGCATAAATTACAAATCATATATAGAGATATTAAACCTGAAAATATTATGGTTGATGAAAAGGTATATATTATATATAATATATATAGGGTTATTTAAGGATGATTGATATGGGTACTGCTAAATTCTTAAATTAAAAATCTATTAGAACTTACACAATCATAGGAACTCCTCATTATATGGCACCAGAAATTATTACAGGAAAAGGATACACTTTTACTGTTGATTTATGGTCAATTGGTGTTTGTTTATATGAATTTATGTGTGGAGGTGTTCCTTATGCTGAAGATGCAGATGATCCATATGAGATTTATGAAGAAATCTAAAAGAAATCCTTAATTTATCCACCTTTCATGAAAGATAAGAAAGCCAAAAAATTTATAGAATAATTATTATCTAAAACCCCAGAAGTTCGTTTAGGGGGAAGTTATGCTGCATTAAAGGCAAATAATTGGTTCGACAAATTCGATTGGGTACTATTGATATATATATAACTTATAAGGATAAACTCATGGACAAAGAGCTTAAACCTCCTTTTATACCAAAGAAAACTAGAATGATTTAAGATAAAGAAATACAGAGTGCTCTTGCAAATGGAAAATTAGCATCAAAAGAAATTAATTAAGTTGGTTTAACCTATAAAAAGGAGAAAGCTAGAGATCCTAATTGGGACACAAATTATTGAGATATTAAATAAAATACTAAAAAAATTATTTTTAATTTTTCATTTAAATTATTAAGAATTCTATAATTTGTATTATAATATTAAGATAATTATAGAAATAAGATATAATTATAAATGAATAAAAATATATTTACTTATTATTCAATTATTTTATTAGAATTAATTAATAATAATAATCAATAACACAACAATTTAGAGTAGATTATATATTGATAAAATTTAATAAATAATTAAATTTATATATATATTTTAATTTATGAATTAACCTTATCTTCATCCGGCAAATCAAATTATTTAAGATTCAGCACCCAAAGAAACTTTGTATGTAACTGGATTGAATGATAAGATTAAACTTGAGGATTTGAAATTTGTTTTGTACATACTTTTTTCATAATTTGGAGAAGTTCTTTAAATGGTTATGAAGAAAACACAAAAATTAAGAGGATAAGCATTTATTGTATTTTAAAATATTACATATGCTACAAATGCTAAAGCAGCTTTATCAGGTATGATAGTTTATGATAAACCATTGGTATCTATTCCTGATATTTTAGATTATTGAATTTGCATATAAGAAAAGTGTTATTTTTGATAGAATTGAAGGCAAATTTTATTATAAATAAAAACAACATAAAGAATTGTAACCTAATTTGCCAAATGAATTGATGAAAGAAAAGAAATAAAAAAAATTTGAAGAGAAAATACAAAATAATAATAGCAATTTAAATTAGGGAGAAATCAATAATGTCTTATTGATAGAATCATTACCTCCTTTTGTTACAGAAATCATGTTATCAGAATTATTTAGGTAATACCCTGGTTATTCACTGATTAAGTTGATACCTGCTAGAGGCTTAGCATTTGTTGAATATTAGAATGATGATTAAGCAACAGTTGCATTAAAAGGTTTGAGTAATTTTAAAATCACACCTGAATGTCAATTAAAAGTAAAATATGCCAAAAAGTGAAAGAGTATACAAATAACATTATTTTTTATAACCTTTTTATTCATTTTATGCTTATACTAATAAAATTTTCAAATTAAACTTATTTTATATCAATCAGTACTCAATCTTTTTATCATAATTTGCTAATGCAATCATAAATGCTTATAAAGGAGAAAAAGGTTTTTAAAAATCCAAATTGAATTTTCCATCATTTTCTTTTCCTAATTAAACATATATCTATTCAGGTTATTCATTAATTTAAATTAACTAAAAGTTTTTTATTGATGAGACTTTGACTCTATCATAAAAATTTAAAGTAAAACTCTTAGTTTTTTCATTCCATTTTGGTTTTCTATTCATAAAAATATGAGAATCATCTGAAGGGAATCGAAACTAAAATATTATAATTTTAAAATATACTTCTTATTATCTAGGTTCTGTAGGTTTTGAGGAAGTAATGAATTTCAATTAACCTAAAGTATTACGTACAGGTAATTTATTTCTTTTAGGATTATTACCATTATCATAAAAGAAATAATCATATTTTTATTTACAACTAATTTATCCAATAAAATAAGAAGATTTTCTTTATATTTTATCTTTATTCATGCTAATTATAAATTTATGAGATGATTTCTTGGCTGCTAAAAAGATTTTGCCATTTTTTTCTAAATAAAATTTAGGTTTCAATTTATTTAAACCAGATGTATTAATTATTAGAGAACACTAAACAATTCCATTTTCATTTAATGATGAAGTAAGAAATTCTTTGATACATTAAAATTCAAGAGTTTTATTGACTAATGGATATGCTGAAACTACAGAAGCATTTGAGATTACTGAATTTTAAAGAGAAGGTCCTACTTATTCTATTTTTTTTGGACTCTCTTCAGCATTTATTTCTTATCGATCCTCTATTGGAGATTATCTTTTTTATTTGTTCAAATCATTCTATTCTTAATATTCAATTCTTTCTTAATCTTCTTTTTCTGCTATTTCTTAGAACTAAATTACTGAACCAAAGTCATCCTCCTCACTTTCTTCTGATTTATGCTTAATTTAATCGTCCTAATCAAAGGGAATAGTATTTTCAACTTTCATCTAAAATTGTTTGTCACAACTTAATTACCTAATTTATGTCAATTTTTTTATCATCTTGATAGTAGGCTTGATTTTATCCTAGATTTTTATGAAACTATTAATTCTTAATCATTTTTGGAGGACTTGATGGACGTTGATCTTCAATTTAAATTTTTGGAGTAATAGCCTACTTACATAAGAAAATAAAGAACATTGCTAGCATAATCTTCAAAGTTTATTACATCCATTCCCTCATTATTATCATTCTCGTTGTACATATTTAAAATATTAAAAATAAGTAATTATAATTCAATGCTTTTCTGTATCTAAATCAGGTATTTTAGTTTAGACTGTAGAAGATTATGAAATCTTAACACTCGAGCATTTAGTAGATATCCAATATAATATATGATCAATTTTCACTTCCCAATAACAAACTAAGTTATAAAAATAATGTGCATAAATATATCCAGCAGGTACCTATAATAATTTTTATTAAAATTACATCAATTATATAATGAATTCTAAAAGAAATAACAATAAAAGCTTAAAAGAAAGATGATATAAAAAAAAATAAAGCAAACCATTTCTTTCCTAATTTCCTCATTTCCAAAGCACAAATAACCAAAAATCCAACATGACCCTAAAATTATGAATAAATTCTTACAGAATAAAAAAAGTCTGAATAATTTCCATATTTTACAACAAAGGTTGGTACTCCTGGATCCTACCAGTAGTAATTATTAGCAAACTGTAATTTAAAAATATTCAAATGAATTGCCCTGATACCATAGAATATGATTAAAGCTGCAAACAGTCTGAAATTTCTCACATAAAATACCCAATAGAGACTAACATAGAAAAATGCAAAATCTAAAATGAGGCCAGATATCACTTACATAAGAGAAGCAAACCTAAATACAATTTAAAATTAAATATGTACCATGTATGAGAATGATATAATTAGTTGATTCCATCTGTTAAATTGTGACCTATATCAAATATGCCTTTGATGTCATCTTAAGGTGTACCCAAAATTTCACCAATTTAAGTGATCACAATATAACTGAAAAAAATGAAAATTCTAAAACGAAAGTTGTAGCAAGGATTATCAGGGACAGCACTTTATCTATGATCAAATTTTAAAGAGGACTCTAATTTTTGAACTTCACATCCATGATAAATTGACAAATCTTATTATTATTTATTTGAGATATGCATTTTAATAATATTATTTATTAAATTAATTATCCTTTAATAAGTATGGTATTTATATTGTAATTTAAATTTTTATTTAAAATTAAAGTAATTGATTTTAATTCATTATTACTCTTCCCCATTAGAATTATCTATAATAAAATTGTATATCTATATAATTATATATATATATATAATATTCATTCTCTGATTCCTAAGGCGATTTACAACTTATCTACTAGAATAGCTCCACCAATATCAATTGCTGCACTATACAAATCAGCAATCTCTAATTTCATTTTGACTAAGGATTACGCCTATTTTTCAATCTTTTCTTCTAATTCATTTACTTAATTCTTATATTTATTCTCTATCTAAGAATTGGCTAATAAAGCTCTTTCCAAAATAGTCTGGTACTCTTTTGACATCTTGAATCTTTCATCTATTAAATTTTAATTTTGATCTTCTATTTTAACAACCTCATTTCCTTTATTACTATTAATATTTGCATCTTCCAATTATTAGAAAGCCAAAGATTCTCTATGACTAACTAATATACTTGTTCTGATTTAAGCAATACTATTTCTTTAAATAGTTTTATCTAATCTCTATATTTATAAATCAGATAATTAAAATTCTAATTCTGCTATTTTTTGCTCATAAGTTTAAATTTTATCTTTACAATTACATTATTATTATTTTTCATCAGCACTCTTTGTTTTAGGTAACTCACCTTTTAAAACTTTTCCTTAATCTTCCTTTAAAGATTTAATTTAAAGTTGTAGTTCTGATCTAAGCTTTTTTTCTTTCTCATATGCTTATTTCATTTATGTATTTTATAACTTATACTAATCAAGAGTTTATGATAATGCTTCTTCCATTTAAATATTATATTGTTCAAGTTCAGAAATAAGTTCCTGTTCTTTTTGAAGTTCTTAATTTTTTTCTTTTAATGCTTTTTATTACTCAGCTATTTTGGCTTATAATAAAACTTTTTCCTACATAGACTCTGCTAATTACTGTTTACATTTTGCTAAATTTGTTCTCATACTAGCAAGTTAGACTTTTGCTTCTTCTGATTATTTTTAAGTCTCAAATTCCTGTATTTTTTATTGATCTATCTATTATTGAAGAATTCTCATTTGTTCATTCTTTCTATAATAATTATGTAATATATTATACTATTCCAATGTTTCATTAAGCTTTAAGATTTCATCATTCTAGGGATACGTTTACTATTGAAATTTCGAATCAGAACACTCCATATTTAATATTATATTACTTATTAACTTTATTCCAATTTCAATTTATATTAACAAACTTCTAATTCTTATTCTAATTATTGTACTCTAGACTCAAAATGTTATTGAGTAAGTTAATAATTCTGAAGCTTTCTTTAGATGGCTCTTCTGAGTAATAATAGTGGTTCTATTAGTTCTTTTTGATCCTCTAAGAAGCTTGGCACATCTTCAACTGATCTCTATAAGTATTAGACTTCATTATTGTAATCGCTAAGTTCTTTTAGATTACTTTCATATTTGGTTTACCATATTTATATTTAATTTTTTAATCTATTTATTTATTATTCTGATTTAGATTTAACATTTCTTTCATCTAGTTATTTTTCTGATGAAATAATTTAAGTCATTGATTCATGATTTTATCTATTAGAATCAAATTCTTTTCTAAAAGATTCATCCATTTTTTATTATAAATTTTGAACAATTTCATCTTTTTTTGTCAATTCTGATTCATATTATTATTTTAAATTATCAAACTCTTATTATTTAAGTTTTAAGGCTGATTACAATTAATCAATTAAGTTATCATTTTCATTAACATTGATAGGTTATTACTAAATTAAAAATCACAAATATTACATCTACATTTTTTAGATTGATAGCTATTTATTCATTTAATTGATTCTCTAATTGTTAATTTCTTTATTGTAATGCAGAAATAGTTCCAGATGTTAAGTTTTTCATATTTTAAATTTATTCATTTTTTTCTTTGATTTAATTTTGCAATGTCTCAATTTCTTAATTAAATTAATGAATTTGTTGGTTTAAAGACTCAGTTAATTATTTTAATTCTTCTTTTTCATAGTTTATTTTTTGTAAATCTAATATATTTTATTCATCATTTTATTCTGATTATTAATAATTAACTGATTTTGATTTAGGATCAAGTTGTTATATTTTTTTATTAAGTTTAGATAATTCTTCATTTTATTTTTCAATAGTAAGTCTTTATGCTTATAATTACTAATTAATTTATTAATTATCATCCTAAATTAATTAATTTTTCTTTTCCTAATCCTTTAATTATTATTCATATTTTTTTATCATATCTTAATGGATTTCTTGTTCAACCATTTCTTTAATTTTACTCTCAAGTTATTATATGTATAAATTTTATTCATTAATTTTGATATCTTTATTTATTAATTACTAGCTCTCATTTTCTAGTGTCTTTTATTTAATTCCAGAATCATCTAATTTTTTTTCAGGTTATATAATTTACTCTGTTGTCTGTTATTAATTGTTATTAGTAAATGATTTTGGACCAGGAGTGATAACAGAAACTTATGAGAAATCTAAAGATTAATCATTTGTTTCAACACTATTGTAATTTGTATATAATACTCATTCTCTAATTCAGCAATTCTAGTAATCTTAAAGTTAATCAATAATTTTGCTTTTTTATCAGGACACTTGTCTAACGCTAATGCTTCTTAAAATTCTAAGTTGAATCTTAAAACAAATCTATTGTACCTACGTTTTATTAATTCAAATATTAGGAGAAGTCAAGATTATGAAAACCAGCACTTTTCTATCCTTTTTCTGTCACTAATATAACAACTAATTAGACTCTATTTTCTTCTTAATTTCCATTCTATGATAGAGCAGTATTTATATTAAATTGTAGAATTTCATTGATTACAGCTATTCCTTATTGTAATTCATAGTTTTACTAAGTTTCAAACTTTTAAGAACCTAAAAAAATAACTAAAAAATTATGGAATACCTTTTTTAATGACAACTTAAATCTTGCATGGAAAATGTACTAATAATTAAACATTCAAGATAGTGGCTTAGACTAAGAACTTATATCCTCCTCTATTCATTAATATATAATATAACAAAAAAAATTACAAAATTATTTAGCAACAATAATTTTATTATTATTTAATAAGAATTATGCTAAGTTATTTTACCTAATAATAAGAAAATATTAATCCTATTACAAAACAAGACTATATTAGATATGAGTATATACATAATATATATATTATTAAATGGTCGAAGTTAACAATTAAAATAACCGTTTTATTATGACAATTACAATTAATAAGTCTTCTATGCAATTATTTATTAATTATCAATGCTTTAGATTACCAATATAATCTTATTCCAAAAAAGCATGTCCATTAACCCAAGAATGAAATTGATTAAATAATTTTGTACAATCTTTACCTGCTCCCAACATTAATTTCTCAACTCCCCCAGGATGATAATCCATATATAATGTAATATCATATACTTTTCCATTTAAAACTGTCCAAACATCTCCAGGTTTATTATGTTTTGAAACTTCCTCAGCAGTATAATTTCTAAAAGCAGGCCTATTCTTTCTTGGCTATTAAACATACAACATTTGTCCTCCTTTTACTTAAACCTTTTCTCTCTTTGCCACTTCTTCCTATGGGAGTAATGGAGCTATGAATTTACTCTCTGCAAAATTAGGTTTGCTTGACAAAAACACCCCTGTGCTTTAATTAAAAGATGATAGCATTTTATTTATTTGTTCGAATGTGATTTCTGTTGATTCAGTTTTACGTCCATTTCTATACTTTTCTTTACAAATCTTTCCATCTTTAGGTTCATATGTATATCTGACCTCTTTTTAAGAATTGGAATCCATAGAATTTTTTACTCCTGGAACAAATAAATATACAAAACGATTAGCTATACACTCTTCTAATGTAAGTTTTTGCATCTTTTGAGATTGTAACAAAATTTTATCTGTCATTTAGAATTTTTTATAGTCCATAATGATATAATTTAGGATTACAAGAAGCTCCTCTTTCGTTGCATTTAGATGTAAGATTTCATCTATTCTATCATCTGTAATAATTGAAGTTATCTTATCTTCCATAAGTAAATTGCAATCTTAAATAAAATATTTATTTTAGAATTTGAGAAATAATTCTTAATTTTAATTTATTTGTTTTGTAAATCTAAATAAATATTATCATTTAATACTACCTATTTTTTTGACTTAAATTATTCTATAAGGTTATTTTAGATTATATAAAGAAATTTCATATAATTTTCAATTATTAGATTATGTTAAAGAATAATTTAAGAAGAAAATAATATGAAAGAAATGGAATTATATTTATATTAAAATTAATAAATAAATAACATAAAATAACACATAAAACTAAAAATTAATTTCTTTTCTAATTGTTTAACTTTGTTTGTGTTCTAATTATCATTTTATTAATTCTTAATATGATTATCTAGTCGGGAATTAAAGAAACTAAAATTATGGAATTATTTAGAGATAAAGATAAAAAAGCAATAGAAGATTACTGATAACTCAATTGATTGAAAAATGTATTCAATTAAGAGTGATTAAGTATAATATTGTAATAATATTTCACTTTTCTAGGTTAAAATTGTTTTAAATATATCTATAAAATAATCATTAACTTATATTTTAAGAAATCCAAAAAAGTAGTAATATAAAATAATTAATTTCTAATTTAAAAGAAAGAATTTATAAAATTGATATGTTTAAATTACAAAAATGATTGCTAAGGGAAGTAATTAAATTTTTTTTTTAATAATACTTAATAAGTAATAAATCTAATTATCTATATATTTAAGTAACTTATTCATTTCCTTTTAAAACTTATTGAAATAAATCTCAAAGTGAGTTTGAGATTTTTATTTCAATTTGTTTATTTCTTATCTAAGATTAAAGAACAAAATTATAAGATAAAATTTTTGAAATATTGAAGTTAAGTGCCCATAATATTTGAGATATATTATAAATAAATAGTGAAAAATAATGTTGATTGAATTACTCTGTATAAATTGTATGAACTATAATTAATATTAACATTTCCGGTATAGTCTAGTGGTTAGGATATCAGGTTTTCACCCTGGGGACCCGGGTTCAATCCCCGGTATCGGAAAAATTTTTTTGTTAAAAAAATAAATTAATCGTTTTTTCTAATCTGAAATTGTTTGAAGCATTATTTTGTATATGAATATTTAATGGAGATTTTACAATAAATAATCAAGCAATATTCACAAAAAAATTTTTAAATTTATTATTGACTATTCCTTTAATCTTTTATCTAATTTCTCTCTTTTTTGAACCTTCTGCCATAATTATAGCATTATAGTCAGCTCCATGATTCCAAATATATATATCACTATTGAATTCTGATAGCAATTATCGTATTCCTGTGAATTTCTCATTTGTTGCCAAGAGTAATGCTTAAATAGAAATTTTGACCAATGGTGATAATTGAATCTAAAGTTAAATAAATATTATATACAATAATAATGATTGTGTTGGTCATTGCAATAATTGTACCTATGGCTGCATAAGACAAAGTGTTATCAAGCATACATTCTAGAAATGTACCTATATTAAATAGTAATTCACATAAAAATAACATAGTTATAGCATGCATATTCAAATAATGAGTGTAATAATATTTAGATGGATTTGAACCTATTAAATCTTTATAGTTATGTATAAATTATTGAATTTATTCTTTGTCATTAATGAAATTTGATTGTATGTATTCTACAAATAAGAAGATTCCTGCAAATGACAAGACTATTCTCAATGAAGCATAATACAATTCATTTTTTTAATTTTATTCATGTTCATCAAATACATGATTAATAACATGAAGATCTTCTAGAATTTCATGTGCATTTCTTGATATTTGAAACATAGTTAATATTGATACATGAATGCATAATGTGAAAGAAGATAAATATTCTAATCTTTACATTCCAAAGGGAAATGTTTTTGTTGGTTAAAATGTTTTTGCTTTGATACCACAATAAATAGCAAACACAATTACGATTGCATTTAATATACAATCAAAGCTTTCTTCTGTCAAATGTACACTTGAACTTGTTAATCCTGAATAAAAAGCTTAAACAGCAAGAGCAATGTATAAAAATGCTATTATTATAGCTTATTTATAATCAGAACTTCCAAATATGAATTTAATAAATTTTGTATCTTGACTTTATTCTAATTCAGGTACAAAATGATCATCATGATGATGATGATGATCGTGGTGATCATGATGATCGTGATCATGTTCACAAAGATTATGATCATGATTATGAATATGATGATCCTTATTAGTATGGGTATCACAGCTTATATTATGTTCTCCATAATCACAAAATGTTAATGATTATTATTCTGACATTTAATTAAATAAATAATAATATTTGATGTTAATCATCATTTTGTTAAATTTACAAATTGCAGTATACACGCGTTATGCAGCTACATAAATTAAAAATACTGCAACTTTTAAATAATTTAAAATTCATACAAGTGAAACTACAGTATCAAGATCAGGACATTAAATTAATTTAGAATAAAGTCTTATATTAGAAATTAGAAAAGAAAATATAGATTAAGTTGATATTCAAATCTATGATGAGGCAAATAAACACTTTAGAATACCATCAAGTCCTGTAATTGAATTCACTTATAACATAGCCTTTCAACTATAATGATGTGAAAGACCCTTAATTATATGATCATTATGATTATGATATCAAAGTATCAGAAAATCCTATTGTAATATAAATTTAAAGAGATAATGCTACCATTTTTACATTAACTGATTTAATCTTTAGTGAAACATATATTGAATTCACTCATTTTCCATAAAATAAATAAATGTGGGGTTTAGGAGAAAGAAATTAAGTTGGATTTCGTTTCAGAGAAGGAATTTATACTTTATATGCAAGAGATGAACCAAATATAATAGAAAATGGTAAGAGACCAGGAAAACATGTATATTCTAGTCATCCAGTCTTATTAAGTATGGAAGAAAGTGGTAAATTTAATGTTATGTTTTACAAAACAGCATCTCCAATGGATGTACATTATGAAGATGATAAAATGAAATTTATAACTATAGGAGGAATAATAAATATAAAATTATTCTTAGGTGATTCTTATCCAAGAACAGCAATTAAAAAATATCATCAATATTTAGGAGGTTGGATGCTTCCACCTTTTTGGGGATTTGGATTTCATTAATGTAGATGGGGATATAAAAATAGCAGTGTTTTAATAGATGTTGTACAATAATATTAGAAAAATCATATACCAATAGATATTATTTGGACTGATCTTGATTATATGGATGATAGATAAATATTTTCTGTTGATAATCATAATTTTCCAAAGAAAGATTTTTAATACTTAAAAGGATTAGGTGTGAGATATATTCCATTGTTAGATGTTGCTGTTGGTGTAAAATATGGGACTCAAGATGAAGGTTATAAAAAAGGAACAGAATATGATATTTTTTTATATTCTCCATATACAGGATATCGCTTTTAGGGTTATGTATGGCCAGGAGATTCCTATTTTCCTGATTTCTTTCATCCTAATATTAGTTAATATTGGAATGAAATGCATTAACACTTATATGAATAAGTAGAATTTGATGGTCTATGGGTTGATATGAATGAACCAGCAAATTTTTGTGAAGGAGAATGCAATTGGAGAAATCATCATCGTGATCATCCAAAAAGAGAAGATAAATTAAATAATGAAATCATCTTTCCATATATTCCAGGAGAAATACCATTAGCTAATAAAACATTACCTCCTCATTTATTACATCATGGGCAATATTTACATAAGGATGTTCATAATCTCTATGGAATAATGGATTCTTATTATACTTATTAAGCTCAAAAAGCTTTGGGGAAAGTACAACCATTTCAGATTACTAGATCTACATTTCCAGGTACCGGTAAATATGCTTAACATTGGACAGGAGATAATGGAGCATCTTGGGATTTTCTTTATTTATCATTGGGACAAGTATTTTAATTTTAAATATTCGGAATTCCTATGGTTGGAGCTGATGTTTGTGGATTTATGGGTGATACAAATGATAAACTATGTTGTAGATGGATCTAATTGGCCTTTTTTTATCCATTTTTTAGAAATCATAATAATGATTTATCTAAACCATAAGAATTCTACAAACTAGGATTTCATGTTGTTTAATCTGCATAAAAAAATATACATTTAAGATATTCATTATTGAAATGGTTTTATTCAATTTTCATTCGAGAATAAAATCATGGTTCAAGTATATTATAATAAATAACTATTAGTAATTAATCCCTTATTTTTCATATTCCCTGAGGATTATCTTACATATAGAGATTTTGTAATGGATACTTAATTGTTAATAGGAGAAGAATTAATGGGTGCCCCAATCCTTAATGAGGGAGTAACAAGAATAGCTTATTTCCCAGATTCAAATTGGTATGACCTGATTACTGGATTAGAATTAAAGGGTAAATAAGATCATACTCTTTATTGTTCATACAATGAAATAGTACCAATATTTATTAGAAGTGGTTATTTAGTGATACAAAATACAAAAGAAATTATAAAAAATCTGAAATCTTTAGATAATCATTATAGGATAATTGCAGCTCCAATAAATTAAGAAGCAAAAGGAGTATTTGCAGATATAGATGATTTTGAAGATGAAGAGAAAGCACTAGTAGCTGAAATAATTAATATTAAATTATCAGTTGAAGAACAAAATATAAAGATTATGATTTCTTAAAGTCATTCAGAACTTATTATTGATGAGATATTAATTTATGGATTAGAATGTACATATAATTAATGTTCTCCTGGGTATTATTAATATAACTCAGTATTCAAGGGTCCATTTAATTTGGGATAAGATAAAACTGAATTAGTGTTAAATTGATGTATTTTTGTTCAATATTTAGATTTACTTTATAATTTGAAATGAAGATATTTTTATTAAATAAATATATATCATCTTTTATGATGTTTTTTATGATGTCTTTCCTTTTTATGTCTATGTTTTTTGTGTTTCTTTCTTTTAGATCTACTTCTACTAGAATCTGAAGATGAATCAGATGATGAATCACTATCAGAATCAGATGAACTACTAGATTCAGGTACTTTTTATTTGATTTCAACTGGTTTTGTAATTGTTGGTTAAATCAATTAAGGTTGTTATTAGATTTATTATTATTGTTATTGAGTTGGTTATGGTATTTATTCAGATATTCCCCATCTCAATTCTTCTTAAAACTTTTCAACATAAGCATAATCAACTAATTTTATTTTGAGTTTTTCATTTTTATACTCAAATACCTTATTTCTATCATTAATTAATCTTTTAGCATCTCTATCATTTTCATATCTAACAAATGCTACATTTCTGGTATTACCTGTTTGACGATCAATTGGAATTTTCAATTCTTTTATTTTACCTTCTTTTCTAAATAATTCCATTAATTCTAAATGACTAGCTTTTTCAGGTAAATTCTTTATTAGAATTGTATCTTCTATAGCTCCAGATAATGTTGCCTTTAATTCTTCTTAACTCATCTTCCCTTTATTTATGCGTTCCAATTATCTTACGTCATTACGCAATTTTTCTATTTTATCTTTCAACCACTTCTTACAATCATCATAAGATATTAACACTTAATATATTCTAGTACTCTTAGCAAATTTAATTTTATCTTCATTAGCTAATACTACTGGTAAATGAGATTCAACAAATTATTCATTATGAAAAGTACCTCCCTTTGAACCCAAATCAACTAAACATACTTATGATTAATTATTCACAAAAATGGCTGCATGTCTTCTAGAAATAGAAGGATGAGCTAAATGAACATGATTTCTTTAATGAGATCCAAAATATAAGAATGCTGAATGTTTCATTTCTATTTTAGGTAAATTCTCTCCCTCTAATATATAATTAATTTATTATTTACCTTTCAAAACCTTCAATTCCACCTTAGGAATCATTTTTGATTCTTATTCAATTGGAAATGTCATTAATAACCATTTGTCTTAATCTTCATAATTATTAATGTCAGTTCTGATTTGTTCAAGCAATCTTCCTATTTAATTCTAACCCTTTCCATCTACTACTCCCCAATACTAATTGCTTGGAGTAGAATGTGTAAAAGTATGAATTAATTAATAGTTATTTGTGGCTCTTAATGAATCTCTAATATCTGCATTTCTTCTGAACTTATCTCTTAACAATACTTCCATTATTCTTAGTCTTTATTTTGTCCAATGTGGTGGATCATCTATATGTTGAGCTATCTAATAAACTTCCTAAACTGATTATGCCTATTACACTTTAAAAAATATATTTACATTCACAAATTTCTATCTCATCTCCTCATCCTAAGTTCTTGCAGATTAATATGCAGCATATACAGAATTATAAATCAATCCCTATATTAATTAATTTACTCTTCTACCTAATAATAAACTGCACATGGATATTCATTAGCCAAAAATTCAAATTGATCTGTAAAAGATTCAATTCTTTCCATTCTCTATTTTCGAAACAGAAAGTCAGCCTGCTCTTCATATCTCTAGAGCTCAGCTTAAAATTAGGCATTCTTCTCCATTTAAGCAAAAAGAGACATCCTAATAAATATTTTATAATAATATTTATTGTATTAATGATATTTTTCATTGATTTTTTCTTTAATTTAAAGAATATTTATGTTAAATATATATATAATAGGATGTTAAATCGAATATCTAAATATGCCTTTTCAAATATTTATTAATTTTAATAAAACAATTATATTATAAATATTATGGAGTGGATTATAGAGTCTCCTCATACAGGAAGAACATATACTTCTATTAAAATTATTGGAGAAGGAGAGTATGGAACTGTATGGCTTACTTAAAGAGATGATTAAAGTATTTTGTTTTACATTTTCTAGATCTTTTTGCTTGTAAATTATTAAAACCTAAGTTTGCTTTATGGAGTATAGAAAAAAGTAAGAAATTTGAAGAAAGAGCATAATAGGAAATATAAACTCTAATCAAAAGTACTCATGTTAATGTAGTCAGATATGAAGACTGCTTTTAGAAAGAAAATGGAGGTAAAATTGATAGATACATTATATCTGAATATTGTGAAGGTGATACTTTAAAAACATTATTGGATGCGAAAGGAAGATTAAGCGAAAATGAAGCTTTTTCAATTATAATACAATTAGCTGATGGATTAAAATATATGCATAATTAAAAAATTATTCATAGAGATATTAAGCCTGCTAATATTATGTTTAAATAAGGAGTCCCTAAATATATAGATTTTGGATTTGCAAAATATATTGAAGAATAAAAAGTAGATCAAATTTAAACTGTTGATGTAGGATCTCCATAGTATATGGCTCCTGAATTACTAGAAGAAAGTGGCTATTACGATTAAAGAGTCGATGTTTGGGCCTTAGGGATTATATTTTATTAGATGTTAGTTGGCCATTTTCCATGGAATATCAATTAGGCTAACACATAATAAATGATCTTAAATATTATTATGGAAGATGAAAGCATCAATTTTCCAACTGAGATTGAAATTTCAGAGAAACTAAAAGATATTATCACTGAAATGTTGTAATTTGATTATGAAGCTAGAATAGATAGCAATAAATTATTTATGATGTTATAAAATTGATAATCATTCCAGAATCATCATTTTATCTATTATATTATCAATTGGAAGTTCCCTATTATGCATATTAAGGATTTTGGCTTTAAATTATTCACTCCCTTCTATTGTTTTTATATTTGGATACTGCCTAATATATTTTTAATCTAATTATTTCTAATGATCATGATTAATAGAAAATTTAGCATTTTATTGGTTTTATTTTATCACTTATTATTATTCTATTTATTAAGGTTATTTTTTTGATGGTTCGACTCTTTGACTTTAATGCTCTTTAAATTATTTGAGGAGTTATTCTATTTTTTTAAGTTCTTCATTCAAATGCATATTCTCTTCAGCCTTTTCTCTATTTTATCTTTAGTATCTCAAGATTTTACTAGTTTCTTCTTATTTTAATTATTTTTTTTCAGTTTCACCTTCTCCAGGATCTTATATATCAGCTATGAATTCCTCTCCTTATTCAATCATGGATTTGTTTGTAGAAATAAGATTTTTGATAAAATTTTAGTAAACTGGCAAATCTCTAAAATGAATATTAGATTTAGGATTTTATATCCATTTAGTTAGATTGTAATTAATTCTTTCTTTAATTTGATCATCTGTTAATTTGGATGTCGACTTAATAATATCTCTAATTAAAATTAATTAATGATATTTTACCTTTCTTTTTTTTATAGAAATTCCTTACTTGGTATTTGAATTCCATTTTCTTCACATCTTTTTTACCATACTACAAATTCTTATTTTTAAATTTATTGATTAGAAATAAGAGTAATATGTCTTAATTTAGCTTCCTTTACTTCTCCAAATTATAATTTAAGCAATTTGTATGTTTGAGTCTATTCTAATTAATAGGATTTCTCTCCTTCAACAACAGCCAAAACTTAAGCAATTGCATAACTTTATTCTTTTCTTCTGATGAGATTGGGTTCATTTATTTTAACAAAAGATCCTTCAATAACATTATCACAATAATGCTTCATCAAAAGATAATAAATTTGATCTCTTTTGAGTTATGCATTTTAGATTAATTTAAAATAATTATCCAATTATTCATTATTTGGTTCTGCCATGATAGGTTTCTCTTCTATTTTTTACTCAAATTGTGGCTCTTCTTTTTGAAATTCATTTTCAGATTGTAAAGAGTCAGAGGATTCTGAATCACTAGAAATCTTTTCTAGATTGACTTTTTAAGTCTAAGGATTTTATGTTTAAGAACTTTATAAAAGAATTGATCTTTTATATTCTTCTTCTTCTTTTTATTTTCTAATTTCAGCCCAAGCCTTTTCTTTTTCTAACTCTGTTTTAGCCTTCAGAAACATTTATTACTGAGCTAAAGTCATTTCTTCGAACTGATAAGGAAGATTTTACTATTTAGACATTATTAATAATAATAATCATTTTTTATTTGGTTTATTTAACTTCTTAGCATTCTTATCTTTAGCTTAAGCTCCATATTTTTATTTTAATTTGGCTGTTACTTCTTAATCAATATCATCTTCTATTTCACCATCACTAACATCATCATCTTCTTTATCTTGAATTCTAACTCTAATATTTCTACTAACATTTTCTGGTTTAATGTCTATTATTAATAATACAAATATAAACTGTTATCTCTTAAATTCAAATTAATGAATTAATCAATATGTTCTTTATTGAAATCTTTCCAAGTCTATTTGAAATCTTATGCACGATAAGATGCATCATTCTTAATTAATTATAAAACAAGTTTCATTTTTTCAACAACCTAAGATAAACCATCAACTAATTTTTCATCAGATATAACAATATTAGGTTTTCCTTCTAATTTAAAGAATTCCAATTTCTCATACAAATGTTCAATACCAGCCTTTACATTAACTAATATTTTTTAAACTCTCTCATATTTTAATTTAGTTCTTTCACATTTATTAATAGCATTATTAACATTGTTTTCAATCTAATAATATATAAAATATTAAATTTACTTCATCAATTTATTTTCTTGTTAAAGCCTCTCCTCCTTCATACTTTAAATCATTCAAATGATCTCTCAATTTCTATCTTTCAGTTATTAATTATTCTATTTTATCTTAATATTCTCCTTTAAGATCACTCAAAGATTTGCTAGTCTCATCTTAACTAGTAAACTTTTAAATGATATCATTAACATCTCTAAATCCAGTAGCTTCTTTTAATTTATGAAATGCTTCTTCATAATCAGCCAACTTTTATTTCTAGATATTTGTATCCACATTAGGATTAGATGATTCTTAAATAGGAATATTTGAAGTATTATATTCTACTTAAGTTTAAACATTATCCTTTTCTCTTTTTTCCAATTTCTATATCACTTTTTCTCTCTCTTCAATTGCTTTTCTCTTTGCATCTAAATATGTCTTTCTTAATTCTCTCACTGCTGCTTTTTTATGTTCATATTTCTTTAACTCAGCTTAAGCCAACTCTTTTGCATGTGTAGCATCATGAGCCAATAATAATAATTCTTCATAATCATGTTCCTTTCCTTTTAATGATCTTTCAATAGCTGCTAATTAATTATCATATCCAACTCTTTCTTCTTTCAATCTCTTTACTATTTATTCATATGTTTTTCTAATTGATTATGCTTCATTATATTTTATCATCACTTTATCTAAGTTATTTTCTAAAATTCGAATTTATCGCATCAAAGGTGATTCTTCTGGAACTCCAAATTTAGTGTCACTTACTTCATTCAATTTATCTTGTAATTAAATCAATCTTTCTTTTTTGGCTTTTGTTAAGTGTTTAGCATCATCTAATTTACGTCTCCAATAATTCTCATCTTTTATGTCTCCAGACCAAGATATGAATGCCCCTTATGTCTTTGCTAAAGAAGCACTTGCACCCTACTATTTGCTAACTCATATACTCTTTTATTTGCAATTAACTCATCTTACAGTTTCTTTAAATCCCTATTCTCTTTTTTTAATTGTTCAATGATTTCATTGTTCTTACGCTTAGTCTCTTCAGCATTATTATAAAAATTCTTTCTATCAGCATCAAGAAGTCCAGACTTTTTTATTTAATGTTCTAATTCCTCCTCAATTGAACGTATATTTTATTAACTCTTTGCTGTTTGAACCCTTGACATATTTAATTAAATTTATAAACATTTATTTTTTATTCATATTTCATTCAACTATATCTTAATGGGAACTCTCTACTCTATATTATTTGATACTCCCCCATTAATTTTGATGATTGGTTTACCTAAATCTGGAAAAAGAACTTTATTAAATTAAATTTCTTTTAAATTCAAAAATACTTAAATATATACAGGAGACTTAATAACAGCATTAAAGTATTCTAAATTTAATTTTCTTTGTTTCCATAATATAAATAACAACTCAATCCAAAATCATTTGAATCCTGTTTTTAATAAAATAGATGCTCTTATCTTTGTAGTCGATTCATCAAATTTGGCAGATATAAAAAATGCTCATATATTATTGTAATCTTAATTAAAATAACTAAATGAAATACCATTCCTACTTATTATAAATAAATATAATCTAGCATAAATAACAATATAAGAAATTGTTATATAGTTTGAACTAATTAAATTGAGATAACCATGGTTTGTTAAGACAGTTGGATCTGAAATATCAGATACAGAAACAGCTTTACAATGGCTTTATGATTAAATTTATAATATTAAAAAATGAAATTCAAATTTATTATACTTATTCAAAATATTAAATTCCTTGTAGGAAAATGTAGAATGGTTAAAATCAAATTCAAAACTATATATAATTTCAAAAAATATTAAAATTATGGGAAATTTATTTACAACTAATTAAAATGTTTAAAAGTCTAACCTAATTATGATAGGCTTAGATAATGCTGGAAAAACTACAATTTTGTATAAATTAAATCCAAAAAAAATAGTAACATTTATTCCAAGGATTGGATTTAATGTAGAAAAACTTTAATTAAAATAATGTGAAATTTTTGCCTGGGATATAGGAGGATCAGATCCAAGATTATAAGTTTATTGTCCAGATGATTTAACTTATAATGGAATAATTATTGTAATTGATAGCTCTGACAAAGAGAGAATGATATGTACAATCGAAGATTTTCATAAGCTATTGAGTATTGAAAAATTTAAAGACTTGCCTATTTTATTATTTGCAAATAAAAAAGATCTTGCTTAAGTGAACATAAAAGAAATTGCGAGTGAGTTTATGCTTGAAAAATTACCTTAAAATTGGCATATTCAACCTTGTTGTGCCCCTACAGGTGAAGGAATTTAAGAAGGACTTAAATGGATGTAATAATAGCATAAGTGAATTATAAATTTAGTATTATTTAATAATTCACTTGCTATATTATAATTTATTATTTTTCAAAGAGAGTAATAGTTAAACAGAAAAAATGTTACATTTAAAAATTAAATTCAATTCTTTCTTCTTATGATATTATTTTAATATTGGTTTAAGTGTTAAGTTAAAATATTGTGAGAGCATTCTTAAATAATAAAGAGTTTATCAGTTGAAAGCTCAATAAAATTTATTTAAAATTTGAATAATGAGCCGCGGCAATGAATTAGACGAATTGCTTTTCAAAAGAAGAGATTAAAACTAGAAATAGGGTGAAGATTTGAAATAGATTATAGAGAATATTCCTTATCCTCATGCAGATATAACAATAACTTCTTATAGTGAATTCTCTGATAACACACCATAAAAATATCTCCATAAATTAGTGCATACAGAAAATACTGAAATTTAACCTCAAAAGGTTAGACGACATCGAACTTAAGTAGATGCTTATGCAACTGATAGTGAAGTTGAATAAAGAGAATTGAAATCTTAAAAAGTAGATTAAAAAAGAAAACCTCTTCAATAATAACCAATAAACCAATAGGAAATTAAACCTCCTTTAGTACCTCAATAATAATAATAGCAATTATAAGATTTCTATGCATCAGGAGGATCTTATTTAGAATCAATGACTCCATAACGAATGAATAAGATTGTAGATTGGTCAAAATAACATGTTACACCAGGTGATGCTAAAAATATCTTTCCTTAAGTAATAGCTCCTAGTATTGAATTTTCGAATGAAAACTCTCTATCTCTTTAATTTAAAAATGTTGATTTAGAACCAAAGAAACCATAAATTCTGTCTCATTAGAATCAAAATAATTAAAATTCTCGTTTAGAGAATAGAGTATGGGAAAAATAGAAAAGATATATGGAAAGTGAAATATAAGGGATAAAGAAATAATAAAGGAAATTGGAAAATGAAAATTTAGTATTAGCATAAAAATTAGAAGAATAAGAAGAAATGACAAAATTGTTATAAGAAAAACATAAGGATTATTCATGTTTAGAAATATTAAGAGGTAAATATTTGGAAATGGCAAAGTAGTAAATGAAATAACTTAAGTAATAATTGGAATTGAAAGATTAGAAATTAAAAGACTTAAATGAATAAACAAAAGGAATGATAGAAAATGAAAAAAGAATGTAAGAGGCCATAGAATTAGAATTAAGAGAATTACATGCTTAATTAGAAATAAAAGATCAAATGGTTAGAGCACTTAAAAATTAATAAAATAATGAAGATAATGAAAGATAAAAAGCTTTATAAGAATATGAAAAAACAATGAGTGATGGCAATAAATTTATTGCAAAATTGAAAAGCTAAATTGAAACATAAATGAAAGCTTTAGAAGAGAAAGAATCAATAATTACATCATAAGATGCTTAAATTTAAAATTTATAAGTCAGATTATTAAAAGAAGCAGAATACAGAAAATAAGATGAAAAAGTAATTAATGAATTCAAATCTAAAGAATCATTACTCTATTAATAAGTGACTGGTAATACAATGCCAGAAGTACATAATAGGGCTATGGAAGAACTTTAAGCAGAATGTATAAATTAAAAGATTTTAATTTCTTAACTTTAAAATTAATTAACATAATAGATGTAGATGCATTAATTATAACATATTAATTCGAATTCTTATAAGGAATGTGAGTAATGCAAGTTATGTAAAGATGAATTAGCAAATATTATATAAGAATGTTCTTTAGAAGAGGAAGCTAAAACTATAGATGCAAATTAAAGTATTGCTCAAATTGCAAGAGAAGTTGTTACTCTATTATTAACTAAGTAAAGGGAATAAATAGATCATGCCTTTTTATAATATGAAGAATAAATAAAAGAGTAAGCATAATAAATTGATTATTTTAAAGAATAAAATGATGAAGTTATGTAAGAAAATTAAAAGATTTCTGATTAAATTTAAATGGTTTTGGAAAAGAAAGAAGAATAGGAATAATAAATATTTGAAGAATATGAAAAACTTAGATAAATTAATTAAAATATATTATCTGAGAATAAAACACTTAAATTAGAATTGGAATAACTTAAATTATAAATTAGAAATGGAACTTAAGCTCATTCTAATGAAATTTAGTAATTAAAACATGAAATTCAAGTTAATAAATAAACAATCTTATAAGCTAAATAAAATGAAACAAAATTAGTTGTTTAATAAAGCTAATTAAAGAGTGAAGAAAAGATGTTGATTAATTAAGAAATGGAAAATATGAAAACTGAATTTTAAAATTAAATATAAGAATTATATAATAAACTTCATAATTAAGATGAATAAATTTAAGAATTAACTAAGGAATTATATTCAAAAAAAAAATAAATTGATGAAATGTAATAATAATAATAATCATCTATCAAAAAGTAAAGGAAAGAAAAAGATTAAAAAGAAACTAAAGAATAAAATTAACTAAAAACTTATGCTTAATAATTAAGTGATCTTAATGATGAGAAAAGCAAATTATTATAAAAAATATAACATTTAGAATAATAATAAAATTATTAAAACAAAAAATTGGATGAAGAGAAACATGATAAAATGGAAAAATTAAATTAATAAATTAAAGAAAAAGATAAAAAGAATATAGATCTTTATAATTAAAACAGAAATCTTTAAACTTTATAAAAAGAACTTGATGATTAAATTTCATCAATGAAAGAAGAAATTGAAAAATAAAAAAAATAAATTTAACTTAAAAATTCAGAAATCAAATAGTTATTAGAATAAAATAAATAATTATAAGATAAAAATTAAGAAATTAATAATAGATTAAGTCTTTTATAATAATAAATGAATTAATTTGAAAATGAAATTAAACATTATGAATAAAGTCCTTAAATACCAGAAAAATTAAGATCCTAGGCTTCTGTCAGAAGTTTTGATAAAACTCCTCATGCAGTCATTGAATTAGTTGAAGGATTCAATCAATATTAATAGGAATTTTTTCATTTAAAAAAAATGTTTACTGAAAAATTAAAGGCTTAAGAATAAGTAATTCATTTTATTTATATAGAATTTATTATCTTTATAATAAACTAATCAGTAAATTTCATAATAAAATCTTAAATTGATTCAAGAAAATAATGCTTTAAAGGATGAAATAACTTAAGCTAGTCATGGTAAACATTTTGAAGATAGAGGATCAGCATAAACTGGGGATTCTCTTAATATTCGTTCCTTCTTGGATTAAGATCATAAAAAGACCTAACCATGCAAAACACCTGAATAACACTTTTCTATAGTTGAATTAGTTTAACCAGAAATTATGTCAATTGAAGATACAATAATGATATTCAAAGAGATTTTGAGAAGATCAGTTAAATCAGTAGAAATGATTAAAATGATTTGTCCTTTACCTGAAATTAAGGAATTATTGATGATCATTCTTTAAGTGGAAGAAAAAATGCAATAACAAAGTTAAGTTACTGCAAATAAAAAGTCAAAAATCATTAATTCAATATTGGGAGCATCAAATATAAAAATGATAGATTAGTCAAGAAAAAAGAGTGCTTGTGGTGGAATGAGGGTTAAATAAAGTCATAGAAGTGAAACAGGAGTAATTGAATTTTATGAATGATTTATAAATATATCTTTTATATAATTATCATGTAATTAATCATCTTCCTATAATACAAACGTTATTTTATAATGTTTGACGACAATTGTCATTTGGTATTTAAATTAAATAACCTTTGTCTTTATCAAAGTTATCAACATATGCTAAGAATGCTAATGGAGCTTATAAAATTAATTTTGAATTTAATTCAGAATTAGATTCTTCTAGTTATGTTTTTTTAAGATGAAGTACTGCAATCGTTAGTTTAACTATATTAGTAGATTTTGTTTTCTCAAACATTATTTATTTATCTTCTCTCACTTACATTTAATATAATTCTAATTAATTCTCAGGTATAGATTAACTACTCTAGAAAGAAGTATAATTTAATGATTCTAATTCTTTAAGATTATAGGAATCAACAACTCCTTTTAATTTTTCCATTTTATAAACAATGATATCTTACATTTTATCAAGATCTCTATAAATATCTGGTTTATCTATTACTATAACCATAGTAATTTTTAATTTTTCAATTAAAAATTTAATCTACTCTATTATTTAATTATGCAAGCCTAAGAAATTTGGACAATTTACAAATATTCCACTTGCATAAATTTCCTTTTCATCTTTATCTTCTTAAGATTTCATATAAATTAATTCACATAATTTCTCTATTAGAATATTTATAAATAATACAATCTTTAACTTTTCCCAATTAATTCAACATTTAAACTTTTTATTCCTTTGCTCTTTCAAGATCTGCCTGCAATTTTCTATCTACTTACACACTTAATTCCTCTGTTAATCTATCAAATAACATTCTTTTTGAATTATCTCTTACGATATCCTTATCTTTTCATTCTTAAATATTCATGTACATTAATATCCAAAATAATAGGTAACTCTGTTTTTCTACATTTACTCTTTTACACATGTTTGAACTTCAGCTCTTATCGAATGAGGATATTCACTTTATTGATTATCTGGATCAATATCTACATAGATTGGTTTCCAACCATAAACTAAACTATAATTGATGAGAGTCTTGCATAAAGTGTCTACAATAAATCTTAATTATTACTTTTCCCACAAGAATGACTACCTAAGACTAACAATCTTGGACCAATTTTATCAGTTAATTTAAAAGACATTTATCTTTAAGCTTAATTTAAATGACTATTTTTACATTCTAAAACATGGTTTATTTTAAGAAAATCATGCATCATTTTATGATAATTTAATTCTTCTTCATTAAAGATATATCCTGGTTAATCCTCTTTAGTCTTATATTTAATCTTTAATTTTGATGGAACCCAACAGAATAAAGAAAATGGTTTATGTGGAGGGAATTCATATAATTTTTTCTAATCATTTTAATTTATAAATTCTACCATCAATAATTCTTAACCAAAGATTTCAACAGCTCCTTCTATCAGGGTCACTTACACAATATCAGTTGGGTCTGATATACGATAAGCTTCTTCCTCTTTCAATTCAATGATTTCCATAAAAATAAATATTAATATATATAATTTAATGTATAATCAATTTTATAATATATTATAAATTCAAGGATCTATAACAAGTATTTATTTAACAAGATGGTTATCAGATTGATCGAATCTAATGGATAAATTTAAAATATATCAAAAAGATCTTTAGAAACTTTAAATGTTTTTATTATAGAAAATATTTAATTTATAAATACAAAGTTATTTATTATTTTTTTTAAATATAAAATATAGAATATAACTCTATCTTTTTTTGGATAAAATTAAGAATTATTTAAATAAGTAAATGAATATTTAAGAAAGTCTATATTTGAGATGATAAAAAATGTAATAAATTAATTTTAGTAAATTAGAAAAAGAAACGAAAGATAAACATTTAAGATAAATTAGAATGAATTAATTATTATATTAGATTATTTTTAATATAAAGTGAAGATTAGTATTTTATATTAATTTAAATATATATATATTTATATTAAGGAATGGAGCAAAAGCATTTGATGGTATTATTAATGAATAATATTTTAAGAGATATTATGTTGAGGAATAATAAGCATTACATAGAGCAGCTGCAGTTTATGGTTCTGGATTAGCTATGCAATTAAATTTAGAGAGAAATATTTTAGGAGCTCCTGGATAAACATCATATATTCATTTAGAGATTGCTATGAATAAATTAAATGATATAGATGAATTAGATTTTATGGGAAATAAGAAATTGGAATAAGAATATGTGAAAGGATTTTAATAAATATGAACATTAGTATAATGGAATTTTTAAGTTATTATCATAATAATCTCAAGGATTTTCTAAGTTGTGTAATATCTGTGTTAATATGTTCTTCAAAATAAACATTCATTATAAATTCGCTTTTGTTGGCTCTTTTTAAAATTTCAGGTAAAGTTTCTATTAGTTTTTGTTTTTCTTAACAATTTAATTTGAATGATCCTACAAATGCACTTAAAGTTGCTGATGGTAATCCAAGTTAAGCCATTTCAAACCATTTCACAACAATTTCATCATAAACACTAACATCATACATGAGTAACACATGTATAAAATCATGAATCTTTATTTTTTTAATATAAGAATTATACTTCTTTATATCTTTGATAAACATATGCTAATTCTAAATCTGGAATATATTTAACTATTGGTCTTTCACCACTAGAGAAATCTCTATCCCTCATAAATTTTCCATATTAATAACTTAATATTATATTTGAATATACTACCCAAATGTATTTTCATTTAATTTTAATAATTCTTCTATTTTGAATGTTTCAGGTGTAACTCTAGGTTTATCATTTAATATTCTCTAACCAACAGGATGCTGAATCATTCTTTAATGAATATCCTATACACAATAATAACCTGATAATTCACCCAATTAGGAAAGATGATTACCACTTAATAAATATTTATTTAATAAATTTACTTTAAAGGATATTTGTATGCATTTATGGCACATTAGAATAGAGTGGATAATCTTTCAAAATTATTTTTTAAGGGAGTGTGATTATTAATTAAATCTCTTAACATTTTAATTAATGTATATAAACTCTGAGAATTTATTACTAAAATTATAAGGATAAGCATTTGGTATTGATATTGAATTTAGTAAGAAAAAAATTTGTTTAATTTAAATATCTGATGGAAATTAAATATATTTGTTCGATCCAATAGCATTAAATTTAGAGTAATACATCAGAGATTTTTTAAAAAATGATGCTATCAAAATATTCTAAAGTGTTGCTCAAGATTTGAAATGGTTGATAAAATTATATTAAATAGTAGTGAATAACTATTGTGATTTATAAGTGTTAGCTTAAAAAGAACCAGATTAAAGTTGAATTGCATTAATGGAAAAAGTATTGTGGAGTCTAATTTGAAAGATATATAAAAAAAAGATTATAAAGAAGTGATTGGTTTTTAAGAACATTAACTGAAGAATAATTATATTATACTGCTTTTTGATTGCAAATATCTAGTTATGTTAATAAAAATCCTATTAAAATAGTATACTGAAGATGATAAGAAATCCATACATTTCTCCATTGATGTCACAGTTCCTAAACTATTAAAATAGTTAAAAAAATAACTGGCTTAAAATGAAGATGTCCTTTTACCATAAAACATTTATAGGCATATCTAATTTCAAGAGCCATTTAAAACAGATGATTAAAAGATCATAAAGTTAATTGAATAATTAAGTAAAATATATCACAAAGATTATAAGAAATTGAAAAGAGAAAATGTTTATAGTTTTAAGAAAAATTGACTACACATAAACCAATTTATAGTGATAATTGTATTTATAGTTTGATTGGATAATAGTTATGTTTTTGTGATAAAAAGAAAATTTAATTGTAGATAAAGAATGGTTTAAGGGAATATTTAGATTAAAAGAGTATTAAATTAAATTTTGATTCTTTGAGTGAAATTGATGAAAAAGAAATTTAATTTTATGATGAGGAAAGGTCTCATCTATGTACAAACATTTAATACCAAATCATTTTAAATTTCATAGAGCTCATGATATTGTGATGTTATGTGCTTATTGTCATCTAAAAGATAAAATAAGAATTGAAATTGCTTAATTGTATGGAGTTCCTTTATAATATTATGGTGAGGAAAAGTTAGTAGTTGATAAATTGACTTACATTCTTTATTAAAATCTTACTAAAGTAGGAAAACCTTTGATTTGGTTTAATATGAAAAAATTAGAAATTAATTTAAAGACTTAATTTAATTACCTATTGAATTTAAGTTGAAAAAAAAATCAAAGAATTTACATGGAGAGATTGTTGTTAAGAAATTAGTTATAGATGAGAAAATTGAAGAATTTATAATGATTTTCAGAAAACATTTCTTATTATCTATAAATCCTTAATTTTTACTTAAGGAATGGGCTATTGATCATCAATTTAAAAGTAACTTTGGAGAATTTCCTGTGTATTATTAGAAGTTAGAATAAAAGTAGGATTTACAATAATAAAAATAACAAATAGAATAAAAATGAGAATTTATTATATATAGATCTCTATATAATAATCAAATAATTATTATATAGAGATAATTCTTATATTAAAAAAATATAATCTAATAAATTTATTATTATATTATTATTAATAAATATTTACTCACATGAGATTGTTAGAAACTTAGATATAATCAAAAGATTTAAACTAATTAAGAGATTAATCTTGATTAAATAATTAGATTAACAATTTAATTTATAGGATGAATAATGGATATATTTTTAGTATCTAAAATAAATCATATCCCTCTTATATTTGTTCATATTATACAAATTCAATAGACCCTAATAAATTAAAATTATTAGATGGAGAATACATTATAATAGAACTTTGATAAAAGGCATTTTAAGTAATTTAATTATAGGTGTTTGAATGAGAGAATTAAAATTACTAATATCTCATTTTTTAATATATAAATAATCACTTTAAAGTATTTTCTTTGAGATTTACCATTTTTGACATTAGATTGTTTAAAATCATTGTTTAATTTGCTTTAGGACTTTTAGTTTGAGCAAATAGACTTTCTGCAATTTAAGTTAATTCAAAACTTTTATTCTTTATTAATGATCTTTCTTTTATTTAAGTCTTATTATTTAATACAAGTTATTAAATTTGTTTATTAGATGATTTGAATGTGCTATTATTTAAGCTATTATCTCTTGAATGCCTAGGTGAACCAACAATAGATAGACAAGATGCTTTATCAAATGATAAGAGCTTAGTTAAAGGATTTTTAGAGAGAGTTTTTTTTAATTCTTAGTTGACTATAGGGGTTTCTTCAGTTTTAATATCATCTCTAGTTGTTTTTGGATATTCCTAAGAGACTTCATTAATGTTTTCAGTAAGACAAATTTATGATTCTTCATCAATTTAAGTTAGTTATCGTGGTTCTAATATTGTTCTTTCTTCAATCAACATTTATTTGTTAAATTAATTTTGGAGATCATCTATTACTATAGTAAATATAGCTTAAAGATTTGTCTTAAATATCTAAGAATTTAACTTATAATGTTCTGCTAGTTTGAATTCTTTCAAGGAAATTTCCTTTTGGTTTGCTAATTTTAGTAATTCCTACTTATATCTGTTATGTACTTGAATAGTAAATTTGTGTTCTTCAGCAAATATATCTTTGATTAGATGATATATTCTATCTAAGAATGTACTAGTAAGACGTTTGAAGATGTTTTCAATTTCTAAATACTTTAAAGTTTCTTTGTGTAGCCTTAACAAATCAATTTCTTGCATTGATAACTATCAATTTTAATTTATAAATATTCGTTAAAAATTAGATTTTAATATGAAATAATCATACGATTTAAGTCAGCATTGTAGTTTCATTAATATCTTATAATTTTCTAGTTTGAATCTAGAAACAAGCAAGTTTTGTAATTGAATAAATGTAATGATTTTTCTTATAAGATATTATTTACTGCTACTTTTGCTGATATTCAAAGTATTTTATATAATAATTATGATTATACTTAATATTCTTCAGAATTAAATCTATTCTAATAATTATTATTATCAATAAAATCAGCTTAATTATTCATATTATGAGAACTCTATTTTACAAGGGAAATTTACTAGTTTTATAAATTTAGATTCATTTGAATCACTTTTATTTTATCTCATAATATGAATGAGATTTAATATTTGAAAAACATTAATAAAGAATTCTATATCTTATGAATATCTATTGGTTTTTATTAATTTTTCTATTTTTAAGATATTTCTGTCTAAATTGATATAGGCAATATGGTTTAATTACCTAATTTATAAAATATTTAGTAATAATTTTTTTTCTTATTTAATTAGTTATTTTTAATTAAAATTGCTTAAAATTTAGTTTAGTAGATTAAAGTAAAAGAAATATATAAGTATCATCTTATAGTGTATTTGTAAATTGGAATAAATTTATATATTTTCATTCAACCAGAATGTTTATCATTTTTCTTCTAGTTATTGTTATTATTATTTGTTTATGTTTTGTTTGCCCCTTAATAAAATCCAGTTTAGCCTCCTCCTTATAAGGCAGCTCTTTATTAATCAGTCATATTCATAGTCTAAACACCGGCGCCATTAATGTTAGGATTAAGACTCTAAAAGGATTTCATAACAAATGTTAAAACAGTTCTTCCAACCTAAAAATTATATTTTTATTTAAATTACTTATATAGCAATTTTATCCATGCATATAAGATATGGAGTTTAGAGACGAACTAAAGTGCCGAATTTACTATTATTATCAACTATAACAAAATTTCCCTTCTCATATTTGATAAACGCATGTAATCTTGATACTGAGATATCTGAAATTCTAATTTCACATTAATGTCCTCGACCTAATTTGATTTAATCATCTGGAGTTCCTTTGATAAGATAGATTCCTCTTTAAGCCTTTTTATCCTTTTCTGATATTTATGTATTTTCAAGAATTATATATGGTTAATTTGGTCTTTCTAATGCAGCTAAGTCTAGCACTTTTCCTTTAAATCTAATTTATTGTGGCAACAATTCTTAACATACTTCACATTCTAATCTAAATAATATATAATTATTGATACTTCTTCCATCTATATGAAATAGTATTGCCAGATTCTTTTTTATATCCTCTACTTTCTAACCATTGTTTAAGACAATTAAAATGCACATAAGCACAACTTCCATTACATTTACAAGGAGTAATAAATGGATCTTCTGGGGTTTCTTCTTCATTTAAACATATTTTGCACTATTATGTTACATTTCCATCTAAAGAAGGTGTTATTTTAGCTTCTGACTAGAAAACATCTTTCACTGTTCTTATTTATCCCTTACTATCTCTGATTTCGATCACATGGTATTCAACTCTACCTAATTTTAGTAGATCACCCTCTTATAATGTATAACCCTATACTGTAATAAATATTAATACCTTTTAAACACCATCAGCATTTTTTAAACTACGAACGATTAAATAATTTTCATTTTCTGTCGAGTTTTAATTAGGTTGTATAAAATATTAGTCTGAATCTTAATAAGAATTATACCTCCTTAAGCTTAAATGGATGTTAGAGGTAAGTGTGCCTCATCCTTAGCCTTTCCATCTTATATAACTATTTCATTCTCTATAATAAATTAACACTTTCAAACCTTCTCTGCTAACTTTGCATGATCCTTCAACCCTATGTTTTTTAACGCTTAAAGATTTAGTCTCATAATCAAACAATCCATGAGAATCTTTTTGCCATGTAACAGCTTTCATTTCCACACTACAAATATTATGATTATTTACTAGTTCTTATTCTTTGATATAAAAGGAAGGGTAGTTGTCATTTATTCTTGTATTTTTTTTTTGATTTAATATAATTTATTATTCACATTCAAAAACTCATCTCCACCATAAATAATACTATCATCTCGTCATTAAGACTTATAATTAAGATATTCTCAAAAAATAAGCTCTATCGACCCATAAATAAAAAATGTGTATTCCCTGTTTGTCAATTTTAGTTTCCATGATAATTAAACGAAATATAATAAAAATAGAAGGCTAATATCAAGAAATCAAATAATAATAAAAATTGAATGGTTTGAGATTTAAAAAAGTAAATTTTGTTTGTTTATTTTATATAATTTATAAATATCATTTTGTTTGAAATTAAAGAACTGGTTTAGATTAAAATTGATATATTAATGAATAGAAATTCTAATATTTTTATTATCCAAAGTTATTATCTGTTTTCTTTCAAATATTTTATTCATATCAGATAATTATTTATTTGTTTAGAATGTATTAATTTTTATTAGACATCGATGATCAGATGAATATATGTAAAATATTTATATAAATTCATTAAAAAAAATTGAATATAATTAATTTAACCTATGTTAGAAAATTAAAATATTATCAACTCAGTAGTAAGGAAAATAAAAATAATTTGAGAATAGATCCAAAATAGAAATTTATTTAGATAATATACCTATTTATTTTGTGGATATATTGAATTTGGAAACAGAAATTCAATTCTACTAATACAGTTTAGAAATTAATAATATATAATATTAATTCTGATTTTTAAAGAGGTAAATTGCTAGTAGAGAATATGAATGTTAGAATCTTAACTAAAAATCTTTATCAGGTCTTTTTGATGGATAAAAATAATTAAAATGACGAAGTAAATCAATTTTCTAAAAAAAAATAAGCTAATTGGAGCTTTGAAATTTCTAAACAAAAGATTAAGAAGAATAAAATTGAAAAAAGAATAAATTGCAAGTTATAAGTAAGTATTAAAATATATGAAACAAGTAACTCTTAAGTTTGGCTAATTTTTTATGGAAATAATAGTTTGATAAAAGTTCAATTGAAACTCTATTTATTTAGTAATCGTTTAATAATCTCAAAAATCAGCAGGAATTTGTGTCCTTAGAAAAGTGAAAATAGCATTTATAGAGTTTTCTAAAATAGAATATGTTAGAAGTTTAGAAAGAATAATTTGATTCTGATGGATCAATTATGATCATAACTGTTTAATTGTTTGAAGAATTTAAAGCAAATGAGAAAATAATATAGGAAAGATGCATTTATATACTACTTAATTAGAAGCTTTGATTTAATTTATATTTATGTCTTGGTTATTTAATAAAGCTTAACAGCCAGCACAACAGCTCAAATTACCAGCCTAATTTGCTGAGAAGGTCTTAAATTTAGAATTGGATGTTGACTCTAATGCTGCTTCAAAAGATGAGATTCAAGAACTATTATAACTCTATAGTGTAATCAATTACTCCTAATCTTTTTAGTAAGCCGTAGAATATTATTCTTCTATGAAATCTGAAAGATACACAGTATTTACAAATAAAATTCAAACATTATTGATGAAACCCTATGTAAATAAAATCTTGGGATCAGAAGCCAAACAGGAATAAAAATAATTTCAATAGCAAAATGTACAGAAAGAATAAATCAAGAACAATATCTAATTTATTTAGCAGATGGATAGCAATAAATAGGTTTAATAGATGATGACTGCTGCAATTGATGAAAAGATCAAAATAGAAAATATGATAGCTGACGATTTTAAATTATAAGATCATAGAGTCTAATAAAGAATGCTAATGAGAATTAAGGTACTTTTATAATCAATAATAATTTTAAGGATCCTTCCAAGTACAATTTGGCTATCTCGAAAAGTACTTCCTTGAGACATCTAAAATTAGACATTGAAACTTAAAGTTAATAGTCAACTCTACCTGATATGTAAGAATAAGGGTTAGAAAGTATATCAGAATAAGCATTTGATAAAATATCAGAAGCTGAAGCATAATAACAGTTTACTGATTTAATTAAGAATGATATTGATTCAACTGAACAAATACCTCAAACCCAAGAACTGAATATATAATCTAATCAGATTTCCCTACCGATAAAACCATCCTAGATAGAGGATTATCATTAAGCTTATTTAAATGACGATCCTCAACCTATTGATTAATAAAATTGGACACCATAATTAGGAGATTATAGTCATCCAAAAACGAAAAAAGTTAGAGACATGGTTAACAAAAATTAAGTTCTTAAGAAATAAAAAATGGAACTGAATAACGTTTTACCATGTTGAATTTCTATAAATGTAAATTTCCTATCATATATAATTATTCTTAATGTATAAAGTCTTACTTAATAATTAGTTATTTTATTTAAGGTTTGATATGTTGGAAAATATTAATAATATTTCAATATATAATTATATATCTGAATGGGATAAGAAAATTCAAATACAAAACTAAGTTAAAATATTATTGTTTTTGGAGTCAACTTGTTACTAGATGAAAAGCTTATGGGTTCTGAATGGTAAAAGGATTAAAGTATATTTAACCATTTATTTTATAGTTAATTGGTGTCAAGATTTTACATTGTATAAAAACAGTATTGAGAAACCTAACCAACTTTTGTGGTGTCCAAAATAATGTGAAATAATACAACAAACAGTTGAATCTATAATTTTAAATATAGAATTTGAGGGAGTATTATATGTTTTTGAGCACACTCAAGAACAATATATTTTGAATGAACATAGAAAATTGATAAAGTGGTTAATGAGTGAGGATTCTATGAGATAATGTTCATTAATTTTGTTGTGTGTGTCTAAATCAAATGATCTAGCAATTAATATAAAATCATAAATGGAAATAGAATTAGATTTGGAATCTATGGATTCAAAATAAGCAAGACATTTGATAATAAAATAAAAAGATAAGGATAGCAATTTATAATTTAAAAAGATTATTTAACAATTGATTAAAATGAAGAATGATTCATGATATAAAAGATATTAAATCTCTTAGTTTTAAATATCTTATTACATTCCTACATTCATTAATACCTTTATCATAAATTGTTAAGGCCATTAAAGATTTTCATTTTCTATAATTTTGACATTTTTATACACATAAAGTTTTATTTTGAAAAAACGCAAATTAATCTAAGTTTTTATTTTTTCAAGTTTTTAATTTAAAATAAAAGTTTAATTGATCTTAAACCTATAATTATCAAAAAAATATCAATGGATTAATTAATCATTTTTAATTTTATTATTCAACTTTTTACTCTTTATATATATTTAAATTACCTAATATAAGTATTAAAATCATCTGAAACTATTACATAAGTGTTATAATTATTTTAGAAAATAAAGATTAAACATTTATTGAAGATTGAGATATTAAAAAATTAAATCAATTACAAAATTGCCTTTGAAAAAAATGAATATATTAATCTTAATTTATAAGATGAATAATAATTTAATTTTTATTATTGAATATTCTTTTTATGGAGTATAGTTTATAATGACTCAATTGTAGTATTTATAATTAATTTATAATATTTATAGATAGAGTGCATCATACACAATTAATTTCTTCACATTTCAAAGGAAAAGGATAAAACAGAGGAGCAAAACTATTTCAATCACAATTATTATTATGAGCCAACAATTTGAAGACTTTTAGATTATTGATGCAAATTTTGAATTAACGAATGTCATATTTTTATTGGTTTTATCTACATCATCATTTAATTTATTAAGGTCTATAATTTATTGGTTAATTGTTTGATTTATATTCTATCCTTAATACTTTAAAACGATTGCCTTAAAGATTAATATAAAAAATTACTTGTTCATTGGTCGAATCTAATAATTTATCTTATTCTTATTATAGATCCTTTTGATTTTTGAAAAGTTCTTTATTTGTCATATTGCTTAATTCAGCCAATTATTTTGGAGCTATTTATTATTCTTATTTTGTTTCAAGAACAGCTTTCTTAAATTGCTCAGAGATTAAGTCCCTTTAATTCTTAAACTCTTATAATTAATTCCTACGCTTCTCTTATTCTTTCTGCATCAAGGTATTCTCTTAAAGTTTCATCAGATCACCTAAGAGCACTAATTCACGATCTTAAATTCTTTAAGTAGATTAGTACCCAAATTTGTTAATTGACCTCTAATTTCACCCTCAATTATGGTAAACTATTAACCTGCTTTCTTTTTTTATTCTCTTTTATTGATATCAGTTTTAATAGATACAATTAGTTTCTAAATTCGATCAATGTCATTTTTATATTGATCACTCATATTAATAATATTAATAATTACGAAATGAATGAATGATGTATTATAATCTGATGTTAAATTAATATATTTTAATATCTGATCTTTTATATGAACATATTATAGAACATAAGAATTTGAGAAAAAGAATTATAAATATTATATAATAATATATAATATAAAGAATTATATGATTATTTTAAAAGATTTATACGAATCCAAATTCTCAAAAATGTTAATGTAAAACATAAATACACACATTTTAGATTCTAACCTATAATATTCTCTAGAAAGATACTCTAACCATTTAATTTAAGATATATTATTCCTTAATAGATAATTAAAATGAATTGATCTGTTTATATTAGTGCCTTAACTACAATTTTCAAATGCGAAACACATATAATCAAACAAAGAGGATTTATAAATTTAATTAGAAGTACATATGTGTAATAGAGGTATGAAATTAGTCACAATCGATATAAAACATAAAGTCTTATTGTATTGAATATTTTTAATTCAGATTTTAAAAGATATAAGGAAATTTTTATAATAATTTAACTAAATTGTTCAATAATATTGGTAAAATAAATGGTAAATAATATAAAAATTAAAAATTAATTATTTGTTTATGTTTCATTTGATTTTTTAAATAAATATATATAATATTATCTAAAATTAGATATGAAGAATCGCAAAATCGATCCATAAGAGCAAGATACTACGAGTTCAGGTTATTCAACACCAGATGAGAAATGTGTGTAAAAATAAGCTAAAATCAAACACTTAAAAAAACATGCATTTGTCAATCGGATTTCATTCTTAGATGATATGGATAAGGATTCAGAATTGACTAAAAATAAATTGGTTGGTTTTTACAATATGTTATATGTTGTGGCCTTCTATTATTTTATCATAAATCCTATCATGACATATTGGAAAACTGGATAATGGATTGAAACTTCATTATATAATTAAATGCGTCGAGATCTCTTCATGTGTATTGTAACATGGCCATTGGTATTTGATTTATCAATATAAATAGTTCTATGCTTGGAGTCACATAGCCTTGTTGATTCAATATTTAGCAATGATGAACATACCAAAAGTGTTAATTTTTATAATACAACATATCAGTCAAATATGTATGTTTGTATATGCACATTATTTGGTCTTAACTCGAGATTGGTACTTACCTTAAGGTGCCTTTGTAACATTTCAATCATGTGTATTCTTTTTCAAAATGCATTCCTATACAATGACAAATTATAAAATGAGAAGAGAGTGGATTGATTAAGGTTGTCCAAAAAGTACTGATCCTTTTAGTTATCCTAATAATATTAACTTTAAGAATTTTACTAAGTTTATCATGACTCCTGTATTAGTTTATGAACCTCAATATCCCTAATCAGGTAAGATAAGATGGTGGTATGTTATTGTTAAATTTATCAATACAATTTCAATGTTAATTATGGGATATATGATTGTTTCCAATCATATTTATCCAATAATTTTGAATGTAAATGCTTTAACATTAGTTGATTCTATATTTTAAATGACTCTACCTTTAATATTTTTATGTTTAACCTTATTTAATATGATCTTTGAGAATTATTGTAATTTTTGGGCTGAACTTACACATTTTGGAGATCGTTAATTTTATACTGATTGGTGGAATTCTACAGATTATGAAGAATTTAATAGAAATTGGAATAGACCTGTTTATGAGTTTTTATATCGTCATGTATATTTGGAACTTATATTTGAATTTGGATTTGGAGTAAAAAAGGCATAATTAGCTACATTTCTGTTTTCAGCTATTTTACATGAATATACATTGGCAGTAAGTTTGAAATAGATTACTCCAATAATGATTATGTTTATGATGATCTAAATACCAGTAATGTTATGTACAAAGAGAATAAAGGGAACTAAATTTGGTAATCTATTTTTTTGGTGGGGAATTATTTAAGGATTACCATTAATTTTAAATTTATATCTTAGATTCAATGAATTACCAAAATTATTGTTTGAATGAGTATGAATAAATTATATATATATATATATTTATCAAATATAATCAATTCATTTTCTTTAATTCGTAACTAAGCAAGGCTTTTTATAAAAGAATATTCCCTTAACAAATCTTTAATTGCAGTTCAATTTATTATTTGAGTATTTAACGATGCTCTTCCATTCTTTTTAATAATGCATTTGTTTATTGTGTTATAAACCCAAAAACTTAAGGTCGTTTCTCATCTTTAACAATTTAGGAATATTAATTAAAAATTCTTTGAGCATCACTTTACATCAATTATTTTGTATCAAATTTTGGTTCACCATATTACAAAACAAAATTGGCTATAAATTATATTGGTATATTTAAATACCATTAGATAATTTAAGTTTTTTAACTATTACATCTTCACTCATTATATTAAAAAAAATAAAAAAAATAATCATATTGATATAATTTAAATTAAAAGTTCTTTACTTTCTTTTTCTTAAGAGTAATAGGAAAAAGAATTCTTATAAAAAATGTTAATCATCAATTTTACATGATTTTATATTATTGAGTACTAGGTAAGTTACAACTAATTTCATTTTCAATCAAATACACAAAATGTTTTTTTGAATTAATATCTTCAAACTGGAATTATAGAGAAGTAAATCAATATTAGAATTAATTTTTTGTATTTGATCTCTTTCTCTTTAAATTTAACATAAAATTTTTATAATTCCTGAGCTTAATGATTAATCTAATATAGAATTTATACATGTTAATTAACTTAAGTAAATTTCACAAAAGAAATATATAGTTATACATCTTGTCTAAAATGGAAAGTAGATGGTACTTCATTTGTTCTTATTTCTCTATATTATTTTTAATTAATTAGTTTCATACATATATAATTTAAAATGTTATTGAATTACAATTAATTGTATCTTCTTGACCTATTATTCTCTCAATTTCTACAACCAATATATTTTTGTTAATCTTAATTTAACAAAAAAATGACAAATCCTATCTGCATATTCAAAAGAATTGTAAAATTAATTAATTACTTTTTATTAGACATTTACAAATCTCATAAAAAAAAATATTATATTTAGAATGTTATCTTAAGATTTATTTTTATTTTTTTATTAAGTCAATATTATTATAAAAACTAATTTATAAATTTTTATCTACTTATTTAATATTCATTCTTAGTGATTTAATTGTTAATATAATTGGAATATATTGCAAATTCTATTAAATGTGTATTAATCAATCATATTATGATAAAACTTTATTATATTTCTTTTTAGCTTATCTATTCTAACTTCATTTAAAACTCATTAAAAGAACTACATGATTTCTATCACATAATTTTGATATTATTTGTTTAGTTAATTAGCTTAAATTTTAAATAATAAGATTTTTAGTCATTTTGATTATATTTAATATTGGTTCAAACATAAGTATTTATACAATTAAATATTATTAAAATACAATAGAAGATTTGCAAGAATGTAAAATGATTTTGTTGCTAAAGAAGAAGAATAGCAAACCCCAGCATCTTTTGAAAAAATTGGTTCTGTAATATTCTAGAATAAGATAGATGAAGGATTAAAATTCTTAAAGTTCTATTATTTTACAATAATAAACAAAAATTGTAGAAAAATTTTATATTGCTTTGGCCCGACTATAAGAAGCCTAATACAAAGAGTAAAATTAAATTACTCCACGATATCCTTTTGTTTTTTAATACTCATTCAATGAGTTAATAGTAAATTTAAATATATTATTTTTTGTAGGTTCATCTTGGAGACCATTAAGTCTAATTAAATTAGGAATAAGATTCAATGAAATATAAATAGAAAAAATTAAGATGTTTAGAGAAAAAGCCCACATTCCATTCAAAGCCATCTGTATAAAAACGATATGGTTTTTCTTTGTAAGATTAAAAAGACTCAAAGAATATTCCAAAGAATTATTGTAAAGCTATAATCAATTTTGCATAAAAAAATTAACAATTATGCTTAAAAATTCTTGATGATGAGTTATAAGTTGCTAAATTTATTGAGTTTTTATCAAATCAGAAGAAGAAATTACTTAACATCAAAGTATTCAGTGCATTACTTCAATAATCTGAAGATCCTTCTTTAGAGAAATTTAATAGAACTTTCAGAATTATAAGGTATATATTTCTATTAAAAGTAGTCAAATTTTTATAAAAAAATAAGCAATTAATTATATTTATAATTCAAAAATTGTTTAATAAAATTGGCATATTAGATATAGATAACAAATACATAAAGGAATTAGAAATCCTAGAAATTTTTCTCACATAAAGAAACTTTGAAATAATAATATATTTAGTAATAAAAATGATAAAAAAACTTTATCAAAATAATAATAAAATGTTTAATAAGATCTTTCAAAATAAATATTATAAGATGAGAATTGTTATTATAATATTAATTTATATTTCAAGAATATATTTATATTTTTCTAATTATTCAATTACAAGCATTATAATAGAATAATTAGATAAATTCTATTTTCTTTAATTGATATATTAGTGTATATGACTAAGATTTTTGAGAATAGAAAACACATAAATTATAATTCCTTTTTGTTTAAATTAAATTATTAAAAATATATAATAAAATAAACTAAATCGATTATTTATTTGTGTTATCTTAAAAAAATATTAAATTATGTTAAAAATATTAGTCTTTGAAAGCCAATTAAGAGATGAAAGAATCTCACTTTCTGAAATTCTTTCGCAAATAAACCTCTTTAATTAAGAACTGCAAGCCTATTTATTTTATCAAAAGCATGATTTTTCTAAATGATTATATTTAATTTATTGAAATCAAATTTTTATCAGAAATTATAAAAAACTCTAATTTAAATTCCAAATAAATTAAAGATTCTAGAAGTCTACAAAATATCTATCAAATTTCTTCAACATTTAAGTATATTATAGAAAAAAGATGAATCATTCTAATAGTTAAATAATGAGTAAATAGTAAAAATTTAATGAAATAACTAGTAAAATCCTTAAATTATAAATCAAATTAAAGGAATAGCTACAATAATATGATTATTGAAGTGAATTGCATTTTCTTCTAAGTTATTAATTATATTAAAATTAATAAATTTCAAATATCTAGAAGATACCAGCCATTGAGATCATATTTAAAAATAATAATACCATAAGGACAACTTATTCATTAAAAATCTCTTAAACCAAATATTGTCTCATTTTCATAGTTTCATAAAAAGTTAGCGATCTCTTAAGATAATTCAAAATATGTAACATACTGGCAAAATAAATCGAGATCAACTGTTCAAAGCGATTTTAGAGTTACAATACTCTAAACTAAAACATCAGTAAATAACTTTAGATATGGATTTATGTAGATGAACTCCTGAATTACAATTCTTAAATCCATTTTGTAGAAGTTTATGTGCATTCAATCAAAAGTATTAATATATTTAAATATTAATTCAGAGTTACTTTGCAGAGAGTAAAAAGAATATAGCATAATTACAAGATAAGTCAAATAGAATATGTTGAGAGATGTTGACTATTACTCTTAAATTCGAATTTGAATTAAATAAATGTCTAGATAATAAAAGAAAAAATCACTAAAAAAAATTGCTAAAATTAACAGATAAATAGAATTTGGCTACTTGAGTATTAAAATGAATAAAATAGTAATAATTAATTATTACTTATTTAAATTTGTTACATCATTATTAATGCCATGTTCCCTTTCTCAAAAAGATTTAGGCACTCCATATGAACTGCATAATGTATCAGCCCTTGAAATTTTGGACTTATATTGATTATATGTGAATTAACTGACTTGACTAGCACATTCAGATTCTTCAGTATCAACAGCTGATTATTCCAAACAACTCTTTGAAAAGAATTTGAATCTCTAAGAGATTAATTAATATTTAATACACTATGTTCCAAAAACATAGATTAAGGTGTTATCTTTTTCTTTGACAATGCCTCAAAATCAATACCCTCAAAAAAGACATGTTATTAAGCCTATTAAAGATTATATCTAGTATTAACATTCACATCAAGTAAATGTGATAATAAATCCTTAGCTTGAGTTGAGATGGAAGTATTTTCAAATTCAATTTATTCTGTATCACATCCAATTAACATTTGATAAAGTACAACACCGAAACTCCAAACATCACATTTGTTAGTATATCCTTGATTTCCTAATACTTCAGGTGCTAAATAATCAATAGTTCCACATTTTGAGAATTAAAGTCCATCATTTCTAGTTGATAATCCAAAGTCTGTAAGTTTGATGTATCCTTTATCTAATAATATGTTTTATGGTTTAAGATCTCTATATACAATACCATTTAAATGTAAATATTCTAAAGATAATAATATTTAGGCAGCATAAAACTTTGCTACATCCTCTGAAAATTTTCCATAATGTTTTAAATACTAAAATAACTCTCCCCCACTCATATATTCCACTACTAAATATAGTTTCTATTAAGTTTGAAAAGCCTCTATTAATTTAACAATAAAGGGACTATCCAGAATTTCTAACAATTATCTTTCTGTTTTTGCACTTCTTCTCATCCATTCTGAAGTCAAATTTCTCTTATTAATAATCTTCATTGCATATAGTTAGTCTATTTATACATTAATAAATAAATTACTATTCTTTTTATGTTAAACTAACATGACTTTTCCAAATCCACCTCTCCCTAATACTTTAAGTAATTGATAGTCTTTAATACTAGCTTGATTAAGAATTGGTTCTGTATTCTGATCATTCAACTATTTAAATGCATAAAACTCATCAACAAAAGTATTTCTGCATACTATATCATTATGATGAGGTTTCAAGCACTTGTTTCCCATTATAAACAAAATATTTATATTTTAATAAATCCCCATAAACCCAACCAGATATAAATAGAATTTATGTCTATTGGAATATTATATTTGAATATATATTATCTAGTAGAATTAGAGATGGCAAATATAATTCAAATAATTGGCAGACATGATGTAATATATTAGTAGCATATTAAATTTATGAATATTTTAATATAATATTTTAAATCTAAGATTAATGTACATTTATATGAAATAAAATAAATGTATTGTTTATTATTTAATGACATATATAATTGTATCTTTAATCAATAATTAATCCTTTTTATTTATTCCTAATATAAAATACTTTCAATATGACTAATCTCTTTTATATAAGGATATATTTAATTAAAATTATTTATAATAATTCTAATCTTACCTTAAATATAATGAATAATCTCTTTGGTAGTTCAATGAAATATTTAAAAGCACATATTAGAATTATTGATGAATGATTTATAATATATTATATTCTTTTTTAGAAAAATTATAAAAATATTGTTAAATTGATATTTTTTCAAATTAATTTAGTATTAATCGATTAAGCAAAATAATTGTCAATTTTGTTTTATAACCATTAATAAAATTCTGGGTTCTCTTAAGTTTTCTTATACCATGGATACTTTTCAAAACTTTTAGTATATTTTACTATCTTTTCAATCAACTAAAATGCAAACTTGATAATAACAAAAAAAAATATACTTTTCTTGCTATTAATGCTACTAGCCATGTTGGTACAAAGGATAATTATGGATTACAATTATTGACAGCCTTTATTTTACATCTAGTTTTAGTTATTGGAGTTATTTAAAAAATGTAATAATTTAATTACAATCTTACATTCTTTGATTTATGAAGTTATAAATCATAGTAATCTAAAAATTATTGATCTTGATCTATAGATTTACATAAAAATAAAATTGTTCCATCCTCTTCTAATCTATCAATACCTTAACCTAAAAATACTGTTTCTCTATTAGAAATAACTGGAAAATATAGTTAACTCATACAAACCTTCTATGTCTTTGAAAGTGTTTTTATTGTTGTAGCATAATTACAAAAAGGAACATATTCAGAAAACAATTCCACTTCTGTTATCAAAGACATGAGTTTAGCACAATCAGCTTCAATTTCTGCTTCCATAAGCAAAGAAACTGTTGATGATTTTGGTGGAAATTTATAGGAAATACTAATTCCATGACTATTTTTATCTAATGTCCATCCAGTTGAATCCAATTCTATTAAATTTTTTGTCATGAATTCATACGAACTCTCTATTACAGATAACCTTATGATTTAATCCTATGACAGTTGAGTTTTATCAATTAATTATATAGTTTAATATGCCTTTAATTAATTAAAAATATACTTTGTCTAATTTTGAATCATTATCACAACTTAATACTATATTATAAAGTTCTTGGCATGAAGGACCAAGTTGAATTTCTGAAAGAATTTATTGATTTTCAAATTATTAAAAATTTATTTCTTAAGCCGAAACAACTATAATTGTCTGATTATTATGAATTTAAGGAAATTATTATTCTTGATGTTTTATTTATTCTCTTTAGAAATGTGTTAACAAATTCTTTAATTATTAAGGTTTTGGTGGAGAATGTTCTATTAAAATTTACTAAAAATAGTATTTACATTCCCTATAGAAATCATAAAATTTGATCATTTCTTCATTCTTGTCCAATTATTATATTAAATCAGTAATCTGCTCCTTATAAGAATTATTAAATATGTTCTTACTTTATTAAAACCTTATAAGCACATTAATTTTTCTCTCACAAAAACGTAAATCTGATAAGCCTCATGGAAATCTTATCCATTTTAATAATATTCATTGATATCCTGCATCTAAACAATTATCATATAAAAAATACTAATTTTTCGAGATCAGATTTCAATTCCTTATAACTTAATATATCAAAGAAATTACACTAGAAGTTGTCTGTAAAGATTTTATTTTTGTTTTACATCTAAGCAAATTATTTATTCTAACTATTTAGATTTTTAAGGAATTATTAAATGAATTTTATAGTTGATCAGCTAATTAAACTATGTTACAAAAATTTAGATATCCATAAATTTAACAATATTGATTCAATAAGGTATTCTTTAAAAGAGACTAATAATTAAATTTGTATGTAATTCAATGTGATTAATTATTACATAAATCTAAATGATAAATATATGTATAATTTATGCGATATTTACAATAATTGCATATTCATATAATTAATAGATAAATTAAGTTAGAGAATATTTAAAAGATACTATTTTTAATATATACTTTTAAGGTTATTATAAATTAAATTTCTATCTAAAAATTAACTTTTGATATTAAAAAATGGATTTTACAAAATATAAAATATAATATACTTTTTACATTAACATAAATTTTCAATTGAAATTAGGAATTTATTACAATTAATAATGATCTTAATAGATAGGTATACTTTTTAGATTGCTATCTGTTTTTTAAGAAATAAATAAATGATTCAAAAATCTATTATAATAATTCTTTAAAATTAGATGCAAAGATGTTTTATTTTATTCTAAAAGGATAAAAACTTATAAAATTATTTGGATTAACATTTTCTTCAAAATTTAGATAATAATTTGTAGAGAATATTTAATATAATTAACAGTGAATTGCTCAAATATTATTTACTTGCCTTTACATGTAAATATATCCTAAATTTATTTGGATTTAGTTTAACATTCAAAAGAAATTTATGTTTAATTTAAATTTAATATAAATTGGTTGACTCATTTATAAATATATTAATTATTCCATAATAATTTAAATAATCAATCACTATTATTAGAATTTTATCTTTGAAAACAATTTAATTGTAATAATTATATAATTTTAATTTATATTGTATGTATAAATAACATTATATAGAATTAGAAAAATAGAATAAAATAAATTCTTTTTCTATAATTCACATTAAAATGGTGGATCCTTTTGAAATTGTTATTCCCCTAAGCTAGCACAAGCATGGAAGTTTGATTAAAATCTAAATGATTCCAAGATTTCAAATCTATTTAATATGGTTAAAATAAATACTTTTGAAAGACAGTCATAAAAGCCATTATTAGAGATTGAATTTGAATTTCTACTTCAAAATTCTAATCAGAAGTTTAGATTAAGTTTGAAATATTTTACATATACCAAACTTCATATAAACTAATCTACTTTTGATATTTGTTGATTTTAATCAAAATTTCAGCTTGGGATAGATTAGTAGATGATAATTTTTGAAATTATCCAACCATATTAATTTATTGATGGTGAAACATTTAACTCTTATAGAGTTAAAGGATGCCTCTAGTTTAATATTATGTAATAAAATTAATATTAAAAATGATAATATAAAATTTGTAGTATTTAAAACATAAATATTTAAATGTATACAATTTTAATTTATTGAGTTATTTTGTGATAAATTTAAATTTGTTTTTTCCTCTTAATTTAAAATTAAGTTTAGGATTCAAGTAATTATTAGATTTATGAAATGATATCTAAAAAAGATAAAATATATGTTAGATCTCTACAATTTCTATAAATAAGCAAAGAAATTAGTTGATATGTAATATAAATAAAAAATGAAATAAAATGATAAACATCCTATAAAATCAAAAATTCCAGTTGCAAAGGGAAAACATGCATTTG